AATGCCCCAAAGGACTCCCATTGTCCTTGGAATAAAATCCAAGCTGTTCACCAAGAGCGTGTGTGAGCTGGTGCTCACCTGTTGCCCCTGCAGTTTCCCCTTTCTCTCCAAGCTCAAGGGCGTTGGACTGCTTTCTGTTGCAGTGTCAGGCTTGGGGCCTTCGTGCGTTTGGAATACTCTTTCTTCCCAAGCTTTGCGAGACCCCTTTTCTCTGCACCTCAACGGGCATGTATCGTACAGCAGCACTGTCTCTAACATCCCTTGCTCCTCGGACCTCTCACTTTGTCCATTGCATTTACCATCTGGTCTGTATTTATTTGGGCTAGCTTTGTTTTGTCTAAGGAAAACAGGTCTGAGAGCAGCCCCTTGGAAGGAAATGATTGTCCATGTGTAGAGTGGGTGTGAGCTGGATTAGGCAGCAAATGATTGTTCAGCCTACTCATTGGCTCAGGCCTATGCAGCCTCAGGTTTTCTCCTTCTTTGTATCCGCTCCTATCACACAGATGTTCCACTTTGACCTCTTCACTGCTCAAAAGAAATACAAAACAATTTTTGCTAACTGCTGAGCTCTGGTTGTTGAGATAACAGCAAGAATTAAATTACTCTCTGTGGATCACAGGAACCCAGACATGAAAACAGGTGTGTGAAAGTTGCTGCAGTATTTTGGACATCTGGATTCAAGTATTGCAAGATGGATTCCAGTAATGCACTCAAAAATGTGTTTGTGATTTCCAGAGTAAGGCACTTAAATGGTGGGAGAGGAAACTAATAAAGTCAAAGGGAGAACTGCTCAGAAGGAAACTACTTTGTTTCACTGCTGATGTAAAAGTTCTGGACTGGCCTGTTTGTGGCCTTGGGATGCTCCCTGGGGTCAGTTTGCTTGTAATGCACTGTTTTCCTGAAAGTCTCAAAATAAGGCCTGAGCAGCCTTTACCCTGGATCTGTTGGCCCTATGATGACCAAAGCCAAGCTTACTAAAAGCCAGGAGAAAAGTCTCCAGAAGTGGTCTGGGAGGCAGAGGCCAGAGTCAAGAAATGAAATAGCACACAGCCTCCACTTTCCAATTGCTCAACCCGGAGTCACAGGGGAGCCTGGGGCTGCCCTGCAGGCACTTGCAAGGCTGTCTTGGTGAACAAGAGTATGGCCAGCAAACAAAAACGCTGTCCTTTTTGTTCACACAGGTCCATTATCATTTCAGGTGCAAACTTGGCACCCCACTTCCGGTTTTTTTACCAAAAAAAAAAAGTTATCTCCTTGAATAGCTGTGATCCACTTGTCCCTAATGCTGTGCCCACTGTGCTTACTTCCACTGACTCCCAGCCCTGAGAACAAGACGAATGTTTATTCTGATGCTCAACACTTGGATTTCATCTTCATTTTCATATCATTTACAATCCTTTGGCGTAAGGAAATTAGCACATTGTGATGATTTAAACTGATACCTAGTGGAATCTATCTTGTCAGTTCTTCAGATATTATTTAAAAAAAAAAAAAGAAACCAAAAAAACTTTGTGCTTCCAACAGTTTCCTCCCAAGTTTTAATGCATAATCTATAATTTTATTCAAAGTTTTTTTTTTCATCAGAATAACACTGCTTTGTTTCCATGAAATATTTCATTGGTTTCTTATGTTTTTTCATCATTAAAAGTACTTGGGTTATAACTCAACTCTTTGTAGAGAGGCTGGCTTTTCATATCCTCATTAATAATTCATAAGCTTCATAGAATTACTTTAGACCTTTTTAACCAAGCATCTTGAATCTTAACATATCCAGTGTCATTTCAGCTTCTAGTTTAGGGCAGGGAAAATGATCCTGTGCCTGGCCTGGCTATCTCAGGAGACCTCGAAAAACAATGTTTTTCACTGTTTCTTATTTAAATTCAAAATGCCTTCGAGTATAGGAATGTTCCTTATCAGAAGCAATAAAATCATGCTAGTTAAGTGACCTTATAGACTAGTAAACACTGTAAGGTCAGAAAAGAAAATTCCCCGTTAGACCTATCACAGAAGCCTTCCACGTAGAGCACTCTGTTCAGACGATGCCCGCAGAGCCTTGGTGTGTGTTCTGCTGCCATACACAGGCTCCTCCCTGGCTGTTAGGTAGCTACAGTGGACTCACCAGCTATGGAAACACGTTTGTTGCCTTGAAAGAAGTCACACTTAGAATTTTGAATAGTGAACTGCTCAAATCTGGGAGTAATGAAAACTTGGTATTTTTCAGAGCTCCAAATTAGTTATGTTATTGGTTAGATTTTTTTTTCTTTTTCATTTTGCTTCCTCTTTTTTCCTTCTGTCCTTTTTCTTTAACTGTAAGAGACTCGATTTTTTGGGGGCAGAATAAAGGCCTTTCTGTGGCTTGTCTCTTTCCTCTCAATTTCAAATTCTCATTAAGTCTTGTTTGGATCAATATTCATAAAATAAAGCACTTTTCCTCATCTGCTTCCTTACAATCAAATCGGATCTGTCTTCATTTGCAATGGTAGGTTGTTTTTGAAGCATTGGCGCATCTGAAAGAATTGAAGAGGTTTCCTTTTCAAATTCCTGTTTTCATAAAAAAGGGTGTTATTGAAAGATACAGTAACTTTTCAGTCTTCTATGTTTCATAGAACTATTATGGGCTTTGCAGAGCAAGAGGAATAAAAGGGGACTTTGTTATCTTAGTCATCTGAGACTAGAATTTCTAAATTAACCGAAAATGAGTCATTCTCTACGTGAGTGCAGCCGATTCCACTGGAAATGTATTAGTGATGAGACGCAGGGCTGCGTCCATCACGTTTCCTTCTGATTTTTCTAATCAAAGACTCTTTAGCAGAGTCCTGTTGGCCACTTGGGGAAATAGCATCCCCCAAAGGACAGAGCTGCAGGATCCTGTTGATTATTTCAGAGCAGTGCTTTTCAGGCATTTTAATGAGAAAATGACTGACCTTCAGAGTTATTTTAATTTTTATTTTTTCTTTCTTGGAGAGGTTGAAAGATAAAATCAAGCAGACACAGACCTTCCTTGGGCTGGTTCCCTCTTCAGACACCTGCAACAGCTGGGCCAGACGAAAGCCAGGAGCTGAGAACTCCCCTACATCTCCGGTGTCAGAGCCATCACCCACTGCTCTCAGGGAGCACCTTAGTAGAAAGTTAGAATCGAGAGTTGAGCCAGGGCATGAACCCAAGCACTCTGGGAGAAGGCAGTGTCCTCCCACCCATGAAGCCCAGCACCTGCCTCTGGATCCTTTCTGAACTGGAATCTCTGCATTGAGCAGGAGTGGGACCTGAGAGTTTTGTATTTCCATCAAGTTTTGGGGGAACACAATAAGTTCTCTGGTGACAGATCAAACTATGGAAAGCAAGATTTTAGAATACCTGTACCTAAAAACCTCAAATGTAATCATTGCAAAACTTGGGCAGTCAAGCATAGAGTTAGTGAGCTTCCCATTTCTAAGGGCCAGAAAGTGATGGCTGACGCTCCTTCAGAAGGGGCGATCCCAGAATTGATGACCTTGTGGGTATCTCCTTTGCACCTCTTCTACTACTATTTTAATAACAAAATAATGAGCATCTTACATTCACATTCCAGGCAAGACATTTTACCATGCTTGGGTCTTTATATTCTTGGAGCCTTGCAATTTCCTTGGCACCTGGCCCATCAGTGAGTTGAATGAAATGGAACTGATTGAAGTTTGTTACAACAATAAAGGGATGGCCTGGTTTTCTATCAGTTTTTTTTTTTTAAGAATTATTTTTTTATTAGAAAGGCAGCTATACAGATAGGAGGAGAGACAGAGAGGAAGATCTTACATCCAATGATTCACTCTCCAAGCATGTCCAACAGCCAGAGCCAAGCCAATCTGAAGCATGGAGCCCAGAATCGGGTCCTGTTCTGGGTCTCCCACGTGGGTACAGGGTCCCAAGGGCCTAGCAAGATAGTCCAGTGGCTAAAGTCCTTGCCTTGCACGCGCCAGGATCCCATATGGACCCCAGTTCTAATCCCAGCGACCCCGCTTCCCATCCAGCTCTCTGCTTGTGGCCTGGGCAAGCAGTCAAGGACGGCCCAATGCCTTGGGAACCAACACCCCCATGGGAGACATGGAAGAGGCTCCTGGCTCCTGGTCTTGGAATGGCTCAATTCCAGCTATTGTGGCCCCTGGGGAGTGAACCATTGGATGGAACTTCTTCCTCTCTGTTTCCTCCTCTCTGTATATCGGACTTTCCAGTATAAATAAAAACTAAATCTTGAAAAAAATATTTTTTTTCTTTAATCGGTGTGTATTATTTTTTCTGTACAATTAGAAATTCTGTCAATACTTGATAGATTTCCAGAGTTGTATTTTTTAAAAAAAAGAACATGAAAAAATAAGTATAAATATGAATGAAAGTAAATAAAGATTTGTGAATCTCAAATTTTTTTATTCCAAGGAATACTAAAGAAATTCAATGAGAAGACTTTAGCATTCATTTCTCATTTAAGAATTTTATTCTGAGGATAAAGAGGGAAGGCATTCATGGGCTATTTTGGCAGATTCAAATTTGTTCTTTTGAAAGAGTACATATTGTTCTTGAGTCTTCAATAAAATATGCAAATCCAAAACAGTCAGTATATTTGCAGCCTAGAAGGATTTCGGTGAATCGTTTTATCAATCTCAGTAGTACATGAATGAGATTCAATGTTACTTTTCATCATTTCTTTTTAATTATTTTATTTTGCTTCTTCTAACTTTAAGATGTCATTTTTATACCATGCAATTCAGCCATTAAAATTTCACAGTTGCTTCTTATACTAACAGAGTTGTTTATCCATCACTACAATGAATGTAGAACATTTATATTACCACAGAAATCTTATAGCACTCAGCTATGGCCCTCCAATCCCTTACTTCCCCCAGCCTCTAGACAAACGCCCGTCATCTACTTTGTATAGACTGGCCTGTTGTGAGCATTCCTTCCAGGGCCGCCTGTGACCAGGGTAACTTTTGTAAAGTTGATTGTGTTTATGTTGGTCTTTCTTAAAGTGCTGTGATCTTGGCTACCATGCGAGTCTGAACAGAGCCCTGAGGACATACCTCTCCGCCGAGTACAACCTGGAAGCATCCCGGCACGAAGGTTTAGACATCATTGAGAACGCCGTGGACAATTTGGAGCCCAGGAGTGACAAGCAGAGGTTCCTGGAGATGTACCCTGCTGCCTTCTGCCCCCCGGTCAAGTTTGAGTTTCAGTCTCACATGGGCGACGAGGTCAGTAACTGATGGTTCCAACTCTGGAGTCCTCTGCACACCTGGCTCTCTGCTCACTTGCTACAGCCCATTGTCTGCCCCTGCACTGGCTTTTTCCTCTATGTTCTGCTGAAATTCACCATTATCTCATTCTAAAGCGAGAGTCCAATACACGAATTCTGGTGGCATCCAAACAGTTCAAAGCACAGGCTGCCTAAGATGTATGAGGAACTTTGCCTAGTTTATGGGAAAATTGAATTTAAAAATTCAGTTTATTTTACTGTAAAAAAAAAAAAAACCTGAAATCCACACATATAAGGGTCTCAAAGTTCATGGAAAATGTATGTTATGAAAAGCTATTCATGAATTGCGAAAAATTTCTTGCACCACAAAATATCTTTTAGTTCCATTTTCAATGATCTTTTCGAAGTTAACTTGTACACATATAAACAGACCTAATGTGTTAAAACTCCTACATGGGGATTTGATCAATGCAAATATATACCTGTTGTTTTCTAATGCAATTTTACTTTTATTTAATAGAGCAAATTACTTGATAATAAATGATGAGCAATTATTCTGTCATTTTGAATTTTGACAAACAAGATGAATGACTTATTGCAAATAGTAGTATGTCTTGCAAACCATCAGTTGCTGCCTTGATTTTCCATTGTAAAAATGCTAAACATGGATTAATGATATGTCACAGAAAAAGCTTCAGTTGGCTGTCCATGGTTTTCTTATTGTTTTCACCAAGTAAGCCTTTACTTAATTGGATGGCCAGTTAGAAACCCCACGAGTGGAACACCTGTCAGCCAACAGCATTTGTCTAATGTACAAGATGAGAAGATGTTTCTGGTGCAGTTTTTATAACCTTCTCATTTTTAGTCTTTTCCAAAATAGAATTCATGGCCAAAATATCTTTGAAAAATTTTTATTTATTTTGAACCAGTGTGATAGCCTAGTGGCTAAAGTCCTCCCCTTGCATGCACCAGCATCCCATACGGACACTGGTTCATGTCCTGGCTGTTCTACCTCCAATCTAGCTCTGTCTTGTGACAGATCACATTGATAGAAAGAAGGAGAGACAAAAATAAGGATCTTCCATTTGATGGTTCACTCACCAAGTGGCCACAACAGCCAGTGCTGAGCCAATCTGAGGCCAGGAGCTTCTTCCAGGTCTCCCACACGGGTGCAGGGTCCCAAGGTTTTGGGCCATCCTAAACTGCTTTCCCAGGCCACAAGCAGGGAGTGGAATGGAAGTGGAGCATCTGGGACACAAACTGACATCCATAAGGAATGCCAGCGCATGCAAGGTGAGAATGTAAGCCACTAGGCTACCACACCAGGCCTGTGGCCAAAATATCTTACATCCAAAGCCTAAGTGGCCTTAAGGTTTATGATAAATCTTGTGATTTGCCTAACAAAGGAGTGACCCTTGAGAGATGCTAACATTGGCCACTTACAGTTCTGAGGATTTTTTGGTAAGTTTAAATGATTTCTTAAAAGTTTATAAGTAATGTTTGATGAAGATAACTACACTTCCCTCACTGCTCTGCTTCCTTCTAATCTCCCTCCTCTCTCTACCTCCCCTCCTTTCACCAGATTTTGCAAAAAATTTCATCTATATTTATCAGGCTTAATTTGCCACTGAACATAATATTCAAAAAGTAGCAAGACCACAGCTCCATGGAGTCTCAAGGACTAAAAGCAACAATCATAGTTTATAAATATTTTCTCACATTCTGTCAGTTACCTCTTCACATTGTTGAGGGTTTCTTTTGCAGTACAGAAGCTTCTTAACTTGATAGAATCTCATTTGTCCATTTTTGTCTTCACTCCCTGTGCTTCTTATGTCTTTTCCAAAAAGTCTTTGCCTGTGCCTAACTCTGTGTCAGTTATAGGGTGTAGAAATTCTTATCCTCATTTTACAGATGAGAAAACTGAGGTTTTGTAGCTTGCAGAGTCACTTGGCTTATAGGTGGCAGAGGTGGGACTCAAACATAGCTACCTCCAGAGCCCTACACTCACCAGTAAGCTATATGACCTTCTGCATGCTGCTCTCCACCCATATAATTAAGAATCCAAGGACTGCAAGTCTACAGTATAGGAGCTGCATATCCCAAAACACCCCTTTTCTAGAGCACTGCTTCCTGCAGCTGCACTTACTCTTAGTGCTTTACCCAGCCCACTGTTTACACCCCAAGTCGCGCTCTCAAGCTGAAATTTGAAAGCGAATATATAATTGAGATTGCAGAATCCATGTGATATGTACAGCATTTGAAGGGAAGACCCATGCCCCTGGAGGCCAATTAGGAGACTTGTAACTACACTTCTTGCTTCTCCAACAGGTATGTCAGGTCAGCGCGCAGCAGCCAGTCCAGGCTGAGCTCATGTTAAGGTACCAACAGCTGCAGTCCCGACTGGCCACGCTCAAGATTGAGAACGAGGAGGTAAGCATGTGCTCTGCCCCATCTGAATCTACATGGGAGGTGGGAGGAATTGTTATAACACACAGGCACTGCTGAAGTGCAGCCCCTTCACCAGGCATGCTCAATTCTCAGGGCTTTGACAGCCGTCTTTAGAGCTTGCAAGCAGAAGTTCAATATTCTACCATGTATTAGAACTTTATCAGCAATGGAAGCATTTAATAGCTTTGTTTTGGTAAAGTATAAGTCCTACCAAAGACTTTTCCCATTTAACATAATCGTATGTCCAAAAATAAAAGACAGTGTGTTGAATGGCCGTGCAGTGATTTTAAACTTTAAAATTAATACTTTTTCTTTGTGTTTTCCTATATTCTATAAATTCTGAGAACTGGACACAGAATTATTTGTATCATTACTACAGACATCATATTTTGACACAGTCCTTGAATGAGAATAGAAAAAGGTTTGTTTCTTACCATTATTATATTTAAATAAATGGCACATAACATGTGAATTATAAATATACATTGAGCTGGGAAGCACGATTAAGCTGCCTGTTTCAGAAATCAACTCCCTTGGATCCTAAAATAAAAATGTGAGTAGCAAACGTTTGTTCTATTAGTTCAAGGCTGTCTTGTAATTTTTAGAAACCTAAGTCCAATTCACTCCAGTTGAAGAGTTGGCATGCTGCTGAATGTTTGGGGTAGATTTAGCTAATGGATTTATGTTCAGCTGATGTGGTCAAGAATCTTTTGCTCACTTTGAAGTGATTTTCTCCGTCTGTGTGGATAGGATTTGGGGGATAACTTGAGCACAACATGTTCCTTTAGAGCTCCCCATCTTACCTCACTCAATGGTCTGTAACTCCAGAACAGTGCTCATTCTTTCTTGGTGCATCTGGGCCAAACATTACTTTTAGAAAGTGGGTTCTATGATTGGCCAGCTTAGACATTGTGCCAGTCACAGGGAGAGCCCTTTGATTGACAACCCCAATAGAAATGTATTCCCCAAAATAGTTCTGTAAAGGAAGGAAAGTGGAACAGAAAGAAGAAAAAAAAAAAACTGCAGCAGCCTGTTGAACTAGCAAACTTCATTTTAATCCCCCGTTTTAATCCTACTAGAATATTGTAAGTTATACGTGTTTGTTTCTGTTGACGAAGCATGACATGTTTCTACACCGATATAATTTGGTCTGATCCTATTGCTGCTTTCTGGCCTTCTTTCTCCCCTGGAGGAAGCAGATCAGCCTTTACTCAAAGTTGTATATTTGAAATGCAACACATGTAGCCTCTAGGAACAAGATCCATTAATGAGCCCTTCCAGCAGAAAGATACTGCTCTTGCTTGAGGTAGTGTTTTCTCCTCATGTCATTTACAGGATGCTATTGGATCTTCAGACTTGTTTGTTTCTTGTTTGTTTCAAATTACTGATTTGAAAGGCAGAATATGAGAACAAGAGGGATAGACAGAAGGATGGGGAGCAGGAGAGGGAAAGAGAGCAAGAGATCTTCCATCTGCTGCTTCACTGCCACAGTGCCTGCCACAGCAGAGGAGGACGAGTGGCTCAGGCCAAAGCCAGGAGTTCCATCCAGGTCTTCTGCACTGGTAACAGAAATGCAGACGCTCCAGCCACCACCTGCTGCCTCTCGGGCACAATAGCAGGAAGCTGGATCAGAAGCCTGAAGAAGCAAAGAAGCACTCTGCTTGCACTGCACACACTGGCTTCTTCTAGATCTTCAGTTTCTTATTATCTAGTAACTTCCTTATTTTGTTCTCACCTGCTGAATCTTCCTGTTGTTTATTTGAAAAGCGGTCTCTGGACTCTAGGAAAAGAGTAGGTTATACACTGGCAGCACACAGACCCGTTTTGTTTGGTTCTGAAAGTTTTGGCCTATTAAAAAGAAACAAAACAGAAAGTCTGGCAAATCTGGCCCTATATTGCATCATAGAGAGCTGAAATGTTTGAATTCTTCCTTGGCAATGGTGGTTCAACTCACCATTTTTTTACATAGGACTAAGTATTTTCATGGTGCCTGTTTGGCCTCTGTGGTCTTTGAGTTTGTGGTCCATAATAAACAATACCCAAGTCATCAGGTGGAGAATCACAGGATCTCGTCATCTGAAGGAAGCTGCTGTGCCTTTGGAGGGGACATTTTAAAAAATGAGCCATAGCAGCCAATCAAGTGGCTTCCCCTAATGTTTCCTGTGAGCATGACTGATGGTTCATGCTTTATTGGACCCAAAACAAAATTTGCTGTGACGGAGGATTCCCAGAGAAAGTAGGGTTTAAGTTAGACTTTTGACAATCGGTATGTTTTCCCTCAGTGTGGAAGGAGGATGAGATTTCTCGATATATATCCAGATGCCCTGAGAGTGGGGGATAGTTTGGTTATCCCCTAGGTTGTCCTGGGGTTACTAGGTGATGGAGAAACTCAAGTTCTGTTGACAAGAGCCTTTGGAAATCCAGTGACAGCATTGTTCTGTGGTTCAGTTCATTTCAATACGATAAATATTTGTTGAGTACTTCTACATTCCAGATATTTTATCACGGATAGGAGTACAGAGATGAGTCAAAGACAGTGAATGTCTAGCCAGCATGAGTATAACAAGTCATTGATATGGACACAACACAGCTGTCATTACTGATTGTGGTCTCTGGGTAGTGCTTTTTCCATGCTATAAGGGAAGAAATTCACTTCCATTGCTTCATTCCTCAAATGGGCCCAACAGCTGCGATTGGGCCAGACTGAATCTGAGAATCTAGAACTGTAATCCAGGTCTTCCTTATGGGTGTCGGAGGTTCAGTCACTTGGGCCATCATCCACTGCTTTCCAAGGTGCATGTGCAAAGAGCTGCATTGGAAGTGGGTAAGTCTGCACACGAGCCAGCACTCCATTGTTGGGTACAGACAACCCAAGCAGTGCCTTAATGCATTGCACCAGCACAATATCTGTCCCTACAGTTTGTGTTTAACCTTTAACTTAGGAACATCTGCTTTAGGGTCATTCTCACTGTCTTTCAAAATCAGCCTCTAAAATAATGGTCAAGATAGTACTGTTCCTTTTTCTTTGAGGCCTTCTTTGCTCTCTTTATATCCAACCAAAACAGAAAAAAAAAAACCCTGAATTACACTAAGCACAGCAAGCAAGGCTTTCCTATTTTTTTAGAACAGCATTGTTTTTCAGTAGTTTGGCCCATTTTCAGACCATTTCAGTTTCCAGTGTTTGGCTCATAAAGTACAGTCTTTGTCAACATGTCACTTCCCTATTATCGGTAAAATCGTCTCACATATGAGACAACTAGCCCTTCTCAAGCAATTGTGGATTTGCCACCCTGAGGGGAATGAAATGAGGGAAGTCTGATTCCTCAGTCATCTTGAGCCGTGTTTAATGAACTGACAGCTCCATATACATTTTTGCAGCACCATTTAAAGTCTCCCACCAGCAGCTTTTCAGACTGTTACAAAAATATATTCCTTCCACGAGATATTTTCAACAACAATGAGCACAACTTTAGGCAAACATTTGAGGCAGTTTCATGGCATGGGTAAATAAGGGAAGCCTGACACATTTTTGTTACATCTCCTTGCTAGGGTGGGGGGGTAGAATTCTCCATTCCTACACCCCTCCCTCCAGGTTTTCATAGCAGTGAAGAGCACAGGAGACTCCCAGGTCTTGTAAATCCATGAAGAATCCCTCATGGGGAATTTTCAAATTCTGTTAAAATTTGGAATAAGATGTGGAGGAGCTTGGTAAGCAGAGAACTGCACTTGCTGCCCTGGGTTTTGCTGTGCCCTCGAGCTTCGTGTTTCCTTATTTAAGTGTTCCTTGACATAGCTGCAGTCTTCTGCTGAGGAAGCAACAGTAAAAACCTAAGTGAGAGATAACTGCCCTTAAATGGTTCCATCTTGGCCAAAATTGAAAACAGGATCTTGTGCTACCAACATGCACATAGATTTCTGTGTTTCAAATGAGCTTTAATCCACTCAAGGGAGGATCTTGACCCAAACGAATACCAAGGAGGATGGGGAGGATGTGAAAAGGCAGGGCACCCCCAAAGAGAAGGACAGAGCTCAGGATGACTCAGGAGATGGGGGAGTGCACATAGTTGGTGTGTGCACCCCTGGGTTTCAAATCAAGATGACTTCTATTTCAACCCTTCCTTTAGGGAGCTTTCTGTGACAGCCTTCTGTGTTCCAGGTGACAGAAATATTTTTAAACTATTCTTGACCTCCATATAGACTTTTGAAATGTGTATGGTAGGCACCTGCGAAAATCAGATTAAGGGTAATATTGCTGAGAGCATCCTCAGGATCCAGAACAGCCAGATGAGCCAGTCAGTCAGAATCAAGGTAAACTCTGCAGGAGAAAGGGTTTTGGGAAACAAAATTCAAGACAGAAATATGCCAAGAGCCCTGGCCAGTGATGCTGTTTTCTTTCTTGGATGCCATTGAGTCATTAATGAGACTGGAAATTTCTTCAGAAATCAAGAGTCCAGCAATTTGCAAACATCTCCCCAACAGTATATATACAGATTATTAGGGTAATTCCTCAAAAATGTTGATGGAACCACACTCTCCTGCACCACCCCCTCCCCCACAAAAATCGCCTTGTGGGGTAGCAAACATAGCACTATTTTTCCAGAGCTGGTAATACTTGGCCCAGCATAAACTGGACCATAGTATCTGCACCCTCACTAGAGTGTGAGGACTAAGGGACAGCCCTGGAAAGGTGTTACCTTTGCCTTCTGTGGCCTGCCCAGACAGTTTCTGTATCCTTTGCTAATTAATCATGATGTTAACCCAATCTATCTGTGTGTGTGCTCATGTGGCCATGGTGCCTTGCTGCTCATGTTTAACGTATATGAAATGATGTAGTTTTGTGATTGAAATCCATCTGAAGTCAGGGGTGGCAAAGGAGGAAGCAGTTAAGCTGAGAACAAAGGATACTAAGTCTTAGAGGATACATAGGCCTTCATCATGTACAAGACATAAGGCACAGGGCTATCAAATATCATGGGATGTTGTTATGGCATGAATATATACCTCCAAGTTTACCTGTGGAAGTTGTTACCCTCCTTGACTTTAGAATATGATGTTATTTGAAGATATGGTCTTTATAGATGTCATCAAAATAAAGTTAGGTTATTACATGATCCTTTATCTACCATGACTGCTATCCTTATTTAAAAGCAAAAGCCAAAAGAAAAAAAAAAGGGGGGCAATTTGGACATGGAAAGATAGAGGAAAGACAAGCTAAAGAGACTTGGAGAGGCTCTGATTGTAGGGTAGCCTGTTAAGCTTCAGCTGTCTCACCAGCATCCCATATCGACACCAGTTCAAGTCCCAGCTATTCCACTTCCATTCCAGCTCCCTGTTATTGTCCCTGGGAAAGCAGTGGAAGATAACCCACATGCTTGGACCCCTTCACCCACATGGGAGACCTGAAAGAAGCTCCAGGCTCCTGGCTTCATCCTGGTCCAACACTGGCAGCTGTGGCCATTTGGAAAATGAACCATTGGATAGATTTCTTTCTCTGTCTTCTGTTTCTCTCTCTTCCTTCCCCTCTCCTTCCCCATAACTTCACCTTTCAAATAAATGAAAAGTCTAAAATAAAGGAGGGGGCTGGTTGAGGGAAGAAGAAGAAGAGACCGAGAAAATAAGAGTATTCTGCAAACCAGGGTAAGAAGCCTGGAAAAAACTTCTGTAGTCCACAGAGGAAAGGCGCCAAGGCAACTGACATCTTGATCTTGAACTTCTAGTCTTCAGAACTGCCAGACAATAAATTACTCTTGTGTAGGCCCCTCAGTCTGGTTTACTATAGCAAACTAATACAGTGTCTTTGGGGACTGAGACCACCCAAACGACCTCCTGTGCATCATGCTGCTTTGAGCATAAAAAAAAAGGCGAAAGTGCCAGTCATCCACCACTCTTCATTCATTATGATCTGTAGCTCAGCGTTCAAGTCACCTGGGCGGCAGCTCTTATGGTACATAGATTCCTTGGGCTGTTCATGAATCCCCTGTCACATCTTTACCTTCTCCTTCTACCTACCCTGTCTATGTTTTCCTGCTGCAGTTTCATATTTGCCTCATTGTATTTCCCTTGTGACTTACTACCATGGCTGTGTGAGTCAGAAACTGTTGTTATTTTTCAGTGAGAACATCCCTTGGGATGATGTGAAACCTGGGGCTTAGTGCCTGGTAGCTTCCATCGTACCCTTTATTCTTCTGACAGTTCCAAACTTAGACCTGACACTATTGCTTCTGATGAGGAAGCCGAGATAAAGAAGGAAAACAGCATTGCTGATTTGGGTTCTTTGTGTCTGTGGCCCGTAAGTGTGTACCCGAGCCTGCTCCCACCTCTAGTTTTCTTTTCATAAGACTGTGGTTCTATCCCATGTCCAAATCCTATACCATAGTGGGTGATTTTAACATCAGATTAAATGCAGCTGAAGAATAAATTGTCACAGAAGACAACAATTAAAGCAAATTATAATGCAGCATGGAAAAATAGAGGATAAAAAATATGAAAGAGACCAGAAAGAGGTTTAGAAAATACAGTAAAGTTTATATACTAATTAAACCCCAGGAGAAAAAATTATGTAGAGTTAACAGCTGAACAAGCTAAAGGCCAAATATTTAGCAGAGCTCAGAAAAAATATCACAGATGGAAGAAGTAAAAAAAAATTTCCAGGCAATGTATATGTTTAAAAGCCTTACTTTGACATATAATGGTGACACTATGAAAATCCAAAGATGGATGTAACAGAAAACTTGAAAAGCAGCTGGAGAGAGAAAGCAGATTCAGGCCAAGCCGTGACAGACTGATACAGACTTCGTGTCCCATGGGCTCATGGAAGCCGTGGAAAGGGACGGTGAGAGCTCCCGGACACAGAAAGAAGGCGACTGGGAAAACTGTCCTATGGACGGGGAAATGGAAATGAACCTTCAAATCAACAGAAACAAACTCTCACTAAAAAGGACGGAAAGCTGCTCTAAAAATGAAAGGAATGAAGACCAAAGATGTGATCAGTGAGTTACAGATCACATTAAATAAATAGGGATTCTGTACAAAGTTACTTTGAAAAGTTTTCACAAAGTCAAACTAAGAGAAAGTTTTGGTGCAAAAAATGTTGAAATCTATGGGTAAGTGATTTCAAAATGAGACATTTTCAATGAACTTTTTGAAGACCCCTTCAGAGAATAATAACTAATAATGTTATAAATATATAGAAAAAATATGTATTTTGTAATTAATTACAAAAATAGCATATAAATCAGGAGGAGTAAATACAGATTTTTCTAAACTCTACATTGTGTAGAAGAAAGATAAAGACATTGCTTTATGTTATAATTTGTTGAGCAAAGATAGAATATGACCTTTGATAAGTTTAAAAGAGAAAAAAAGACCTAAAAGATAAGATGTTAACATGGAACTCTACCTGCATAGTCTGCCTTTCCATTAAAGAAAAACAAACATAGAACAGTGTGTCCATCCTCATCTGTGAGAGACACACACAATCAAAACCACACAAGATATCGCCTTAAGCCAACACAGTGCTTTATAAGACTGAAAAAACCAACTGCTGGTAAGAATGTGGATTATAGAAATTCTGCTCTTTTGATGAGAATGTAAATCACAAGCCTTACTTTAGAAGATAATCTGGCATACTCTGTGAGCAGCAAGGCTACTCGTTTGTGATCCAACACAATTATGCTCATAGCAACATTAATCGTGATAGGCATCACTAATGAGTCAGCTATCAATAAATCAATGAATTGTGTTATGCTTTTCAGTGAATATTCATTGATGACATTTACTCAGAAATGAGTAGGTCTCACTACAGTTGAGAAGGAAGCAAACACAAAAATCAGACATACTATAGGATAACATTGATATAAAAGGCCCCAAAATGATCAAATGCATGCGTGACGTCAGAAATCAGGGCAGCGTGTGTGTCTGGGGAGGACAGAGTGTGGGTACTTGGGAGAGGCACAGGGTGCGTGGAGCGGCCTGTATGCTTGATGTGAGTGGTGTTGACATAGGCTTGTTCATTTTGGGATCATTGATCAGGCTGCACATTGATGTATTTGTGCCTGGTGACATTGAAGACTCATGAGGACCACAACAAACTGAGTCCTTAAGATGCTTTTGCAGAAATCCATCCTCGCTTTAGGTTGGTCATGTAGGATATGGTTTACCTGTCTCTCTTGCTCCTGGAACAGATTCCCAACTTCCTAGGGACAAAGCCTCTGTCCTGCTCTCTGTGTTCAGAGTAGACTCTGAGTGTTGTGGGAATTCGTGAAATGATGAGCTAATGTGAGAAACGGGATTCTATCCCCAGGTTAAGAAAACGACGGAAGCCACCTTGCAGACGATACAAGATATGGTCACCATCGAGGACTACGATGTCTCCGAATGCTTCCAGCATAGTCGCTCCACAGAGTCTGTCAAGTCCACTGTCTCCGAAACCTACCTGAGCAAGCCCAGCATTGCCAAGAGAAGAGCTAACCAGCAGGAAACTGAGCAGTTCTACTTCATGGTGCGGCCCTTGCTCCCCATGTCACTGTTTATTATTTTCATCTGCTCAAAACCACAGAAACAGCGGCAGAAAGAGACAGAGATGAGACATCTGTATTCCCCCAAACACCTATAGTAACCAGGCTGGATCAGTTGTCTAGAACTCCATTCTGGTCTCCCATGTGGATGGCAGGACTCCCAAGTATTTTGGTTGTTCTCTGCTGCCTCCCAGCATGCATTAGCAGGAGCTGTATTCAGAAGCAGAGTTGCTGGTTCTCAAACCAACACTCCACTAGGGCATGCAGATTGTCCCAATGGCGACTTAACCAGCTGAGCCACACACCTGCCACTTTGTTATTGTTCAGTTTGAAAGAGTAAGTACACGTGGGAAAGCTCCTATCTGCTGGTTCATTCCAAATACTGGCACTGGTGGAGGCTAGGCAAGAACAAAACTGAATACAAGAACACAATACAAGTCTCCTACACGAAGCATAGGAACCCAACTGCTTGAGCTATTACTGTTGTCTTACAGGGCTACAGTAGCAGAAAAATGAATTCAGGAGTGGGAGCCAGGCAATGAACCAATGTTTTCCAGTATGGGATGGGGAGTCCTAACTGGCATTTAACCAGGAGGCCAAATGTCTGCACATCCACTGTCATGCCAGTGTCAGCAGGGATCAGGTCCAGGGATAGCCAGTTGCATCAGAATGATCTGCTCATATGGTTGCATCAGAATGATCTGTTGTTGTTTAGTAAAGTGTAGGCTCCTCTCCACCCTCAGAGTCCCTGATTCTGTGAATCTGACAGGGAGTTTAGAAATCATAGGGCTGTTCTGAACAATAATTTTAAACGTTAACACCCACAGATATTCCCAGGAGAACCTAGTACGATGGAGATGAGGTCTGCAGAGGAAAGCACTTGAGATTCTGCATCTTTACCAGGCTTGCACGTGATGGCCGATGGCTAAGGGCTTTCTAGCAGCAAGATAGTATCATCCTGCTCAGGCTGGTTTTGTAGGAATCCTCCCCTTAGGAGGGGATGTAGAATGTGAAAGTGGCTGGATTTTAGATCTCCTATGAGAAGTCTCTTGACATTGAATACTTGGTACAAATTAAAACTTCATCTTGTCGTTTGCAGAAACTCAGAGAGTATTTGGAAGGCAGTAATCTCATCACAAAGCTGCAGGCCAAGCACGACTTGCTGCAGAGGACCCTCGGCGAAGGTCAGTGACCTGGGGTGCCCCGGAAAGGGACCTGGGTTCTGTGCTCCGTCATGCACACTTACCGTCTAGAAAGTATGCAACTTGTGGATGGCTACTTAAGAAACAGAAAGCACTATATGTGTTTTAAACATACTGTATATATAAAGTGATCACATTTCACAATATAGATTGGGGATAAAAGGAATACTTTGGCCCTTCTCTGCCTCCTGCCTGGCTTCCCCACACACCCTCCTCTTTCCTTATTTCTTATTTTTTCCTTGTAAAAAAAAAAAAATTAATAATGGCAGAGTTTCATTTCACTTCGCAGTCATAGGCTTAACACTCTTGGGTAAAGATCTCAACAGGTAGCACATATCCGTGTTTGTAATAATCATGTTCTCCCTGAAGCTTGTATTAACTTTTAACAAACACTTTTGAAACCCTGCGAGGGCCTGAAACCCAGAGAGGGCTGCAGAAGCAACTCACAGGCCTAGAGGCAGGGTCCTCAGAGTGTGGTGCCCCCGACAGTGGAAACGCAGGAGGAGCTGCACCTGCTCCCACCTCCTGACCCACAGTCACTTCTTGACTTCCTGTCTGGGACTTGACCTGCAAGCCACACCCTTGTTTGTTTTATAGGTCAGTGTTTGTTCTCTTTCCAGCCAGCTTGGACTCTGGAAACCAGTTAAACCAGTTTGAGTGCTTTTTTTTTTTGTTTTCCTTTCAATAGACATCTGTTGTAGTTAACAAATAATCTAAAATTGTCAGTAGATTACTGTGTCTCATAATAATAACAAAAACAGCAGCAAGAGGGAATACTTTATAAGCCATTCTCTAGGCCAGACATTGTTCCGAGGGCCTTAGCTGGGCACTGTTGATTTTACTATTGTTATAGATAAGGGGACTACTGGCACAAAAGACTGTAAACTTGGCTTCTCTTTTGTCAATGAAATCACGGAGGAGAATAATAGAAGCAAAGCCCCAGTCTCTAGTACCTCCTAGTCCTTAACGTTAATTACCTTTCACTCATGCTACCTCCTACTAAATGTTATAAAAAGTGAAGGAAGCTTAAGATAGAAAGGGAAATGACAGAAGACTGAGTTGCATGAGTAACTCAGGTCAAAAAGAAATTGCTGCCAGTAGACCTAAATTCTTGGTTCCTCTCATTCTGGAACCTTCTTTACCCACAAAACAGTGTTTCCGTCACTGTGTGTCCTGATCTCCTCCAGTGGACCCCTCCTCCTCTGGCAATGATGGGAAGAGAAAGCTCATCCCCACCTGACGTGCCCCTTGTTGACTCCAGGCTAATGAGTCCGTTTCACCTAGACAGAGGAAAAAGTGACATCTAAACCACTAAGAAGTGTCTGTAGGAGCCACACACAGTGTGTGTTAAATTCCTCGTTAAATTCCTAGTCAAGAAGGCAAACATTATGGAAGACATTTTTAGTAGAGAAATGTAGAGAAATTTTAAATATAGATGATATTAAAAGATACTGAAATATTGATATTATGGCTACAGGAAATATTCTTATTCCTAGGAAATGTTTTGTTAAAGTGTCATTTAATGTCTGCAACTTACTTCTAAATGCTACGGGGGGGAAAAGAAGCAAAGAGAAAGCAATTTGGCAGGTGTTCCCAATTGGGAAATCTAAATAAAAAATCATAGGACTGTTCCCTGTCTTTTATATGTATATATTATTTACATAACTTTTATATACTTACATATTTTATATATATTTGTGCATATACTTATATAGATTTAACTTTTAAAAATTTTATATCTTTGAAAGGCATTTACACAGAGAGTTAGCCAGAGAGAGAGAGAGAGAGAGAGAGAGAGAGAGAGAAGCATTTTCCATCTGCTGGTTCACTCTGCAAATACCCACAGTGACCAGGGCTGGTCTAGGCCAAAGCCAGGAGCCAGGAGCTTCATCTGAGTCTCCCATGTGTGTTCAGGGACCCAAGGACTTCAGCCATCTTCTGCTTTGCAGACACATTAGCAAGGAGCTGGAAGGAATATTGAGCTGTTGGGACTCTAACCGGCACCCACTCAGGATGTGTGCCACAATACCAATGCAATTTTATTTTTTTTATTTAAAAAGTTATTTATCTGTTTGTTATTTATTTATTTTTATTTTTATTTTTATTATATATATATATATTTTAAATTACATTGTATTATGTGACACAGTTCTATAGGCACTGGGATACCCCCCATCTCTCTTCCAACCCTCCCCCCATGGTGGTCTCCTCCCCCCTGTGGCGTAACCACAGTTCAAGTTTAGTTGAGATTCCTTCATTGCAAGCATACACCAAGCATAGAGTCTAGTATCTCATTGTCCGGTCAAGTTCAGCGGCTTCTTGGGGAGTCCTTCTCTGGTCTGAAGGCAGAGCCAACAGAGTAAAATCCCGATCAATTAAAAGCCCCAGCCTAACATCAGCAATAATATATAACGTTATGGAATTGACAAAGTATTGAGTAACCAATATGTTAAAATTGGATGCAAGCTCTTAACAACCTCCTGTGACTATTTCAATGACATTTCAACAATTGAGGTGCAAAACAGTTTTAGGAGGGGTGTGCAAAGAAATCTTTTATACCTTGGTGAGGAGTACTTAATCCCCATGTCCTACCTAGTAAGGTGTGTGTGAGTCCATGCTGACCAAGTCTTCCTTGTTGTTCTCTACCTATCCATTCCAATTTGTGAGTTTGTGTGTGTGTGTTTATTTATTTAACTAAAGAGATCATCCATGTGCTTGTTCACTCCTCAAATGCCCAGGATCAAGGAACTCAACTCAACTGTCCCAAATGGGTGGCAGGGAGACCTGAGTTCTGGAATCGTCTCCTGCCTCCCTGGCTGTCCAGCAGGACGGAGCTGGAATTAGCTCTGGGCTGGGATTTGAACCCAGGAACTGCAGGAGAGGAGGTGAATGGCCCGTACCCACAGTGCCAGACATTCATGTGTCTTCTTTTTAATGGCATAAAAAGGTTTATTTCGTAGTGGCTTGTCATCCATAGGGAGGAGGGAGAGGACTCAGCTCCCAAGACAGCAAGGGAGACCGAGGCCCCAACCCAAACGTTCCCAATCAGAATCCTGCCTAAGGTACAGACTGCTGTATCCCCTTTGTCACTAGACTCAGATTTGTCTGGCAACTCACACCCCTACCAAAGTCTGGGCCATTTCTCTTTATACCAAGAACAGCTTTAAAAATAATAATAATCTTACATATTTTAGCAAGCATGTTCAATGTATCCACTCGTAGTATCATGTAAGTTCTTTTATTCTATATGCGACTCAGAAATGCCTACTATTTCAAATGCTGTCCTCAAGATCAGTTGCCAGCCTTAAAACATGAGTTATTTTAAGTATAGATGGATGCTTGTAGGAAAGGAAAAAAGTCATTCTCTGCAAGGCTGGATTTTTTTTTTTAGAAATTGTGAGTGTAAGAAAACTGAAATAGTGGGTGAATGCATTCTTAGTCCCACATGCAGCTGTGTGTTTACATGCTTGGAGTCACTTGCGGAAACATTTATGGTTCTTTTTCAGTGTAGATAGGACTCCTGGAGAGAAAGTCCCACTGGTAGGTGGACATATCATTATGGAGAGGGCTGGAGTTTGGCCAGTCTGCTGAATCCGCATGCCAAATTCCATCCTCAGCAGCTGAACCGTGGAAAGCTCTCTGATACCTGATGAACTTGAAGCCAAGATTTCTGCATCTTGGAATTTTTTTCAATGAGCTCCAGTGTCCCCAGGACACCAGCAGTGCTGGGGGATAGAAGGCCTCCACCGCGCCGGCTTCTACAGAAGGAGCTGGATGGCTCTGCCTGCGGTGGGCAGCCCTGAGTTGGAGCTGTCTGTGGAAAAAGTGCCATACATACTTCGGGCTGCGTGCTGGTAAGCCTGCTGGCTTTCCGTGCAAGCCCTGTTCTTATCAACTGGCTGACACCAAAGGACACTAGGAGAGTTTGTGGCGCCCATCCCACAGTGAAGTAATCCAATAGTGAGCCCTAGGGAAGCACTCCACGTCCTGCTTTGGCTAAATAAGGTTCGTAGTGCAGGACTCAACGGTGTGTTTAGTGATAGTCCTGACTTTTTAATGTAGAAATCCACTTCTTTGAATTATACTAGACTTACTGCTACAGAAACTACCTTCATAGTAAAACAAATAGAGCCTAACCCAGGGATTTAGCAGTTGATTGTACACAGCTGAAGCTAACTGCAGCCATGTGTTTGGCCTCCTTTCTGCTTGCTTTTTGGCAGGCTACCAGTGCCCCAGTAAAGTCTTTGATTTACAACACAGCGAAAGCAGCTAGCTTGGGCGCTTAAAGTGGCACTGTCAGGATTCAGAACTCCAAATCTCTGGAAACAGTTGGAATGGAAAGAAACGCATAATGAATTGCAAGCAAATTCATCATCTTCTTCATCCTTCTGAAACAGCGTTGAGTTTTTGTGACACCATTTGTTTTTAAACGGATGTTAAACTGACCACTATACATAGGAATATGCAAGACTGAGGCACTAAAATGATTTTCTTTTTCCAGTAATGAGCCTTCGTGTTCGCCTCGGCTTCCTTGTGTGCAGCTGCTGGAGTTGAGGGGGCGTAAATACAGGAACAATCTTGCTAACCCCAGTAAATCTAACACCAGGAGTGAACCCCATGGTGCACAGTTTCTTGTCCTTGGGTGTAAGTTTTCTCACAAAGGAACTAAGCAGGTTGTCCTCACACGGTCCATTGTCTCCCTTTGAGTAGGAGTCTCCTTTGGAAGGGAGAAGCTGGTTGTGGATCCGTTTTTGTAGAAAAGCTGCTGTGGTCGTTCATTTGCTTGAGGGCTGGAAAGTAACACCAGGAGTCCTCATCAACCGCTCCTCTAGGGAAGAAAGTCAGCATGCCTTCGTCCAGTTTGAGCTGCACGCGTTTTAAATGTTTTGTTGAGTTTTTCTTTGAAATCTCTAATTACCATCAAACTACACTTGGCTATTTCTTTTACTGGATGGAGATTTAAAAAAATGCTTTCAAGTGTGATAAGAGTGTCATCATTAATCTCATGTGAAACGTAGTAAGAGTAACCCAGGGGGATATTGGTACCAAGACTAGCCCCGGGTCACTTCCCCGCTCTAAACGACTGCTGTGTAGACGCCATGGGGGTAGTTGTTTCTCCTTAATAATTAAGTAGCCATCCAAAGAGAGTGATTGCAATCTAGTCCTCAAACCATTGGAAGCTTTCCCTGGTCTCTAGGAAGGAGAGTCTTCTCGGTTTGTATGTTATTGATCTATTAATGATGATGCTGATTAAAAAATAAAACCTCATTCATCACTAGAGACACAGTCAGGACTATTAGCTTTAAAAAAAAAATGGGTGTGGCCCTGTAGTTTTGCCATGAATAAGAGTTCTGCAAAGCTTGCCCTGAGCTCATCATTCAAAATGTGTGTTTTATGGATTCTTAACTTTTTTTTATCTCATATGATTAACCAGAGTTGAATTAAGCAAAATAATTTCATGCTGGTGTGTGTGTGTGTGTGTGTGTGTGTGTATAAAATCTTTTTCTAAATCTAAGGAATAGTTGGATAGAATATTTTAACAAAATAGTGTACTTTCAACATTATATGCAATAAAAGGAACTAGAAGGAAGAAGCTAGTAGACTCCAGCATAAAGAGGAAGAAATGGGTTTGCTGTGTGTGTTTGTTGTTAATCAAAAAGAAAGCATAGTAAAATTTCCAAGTTAGGAAACCTCTGATTGCTAAAAACTTACCATTGAATCAGCTGCAAATGATTAACCTATGCTGTTTATAGACTTAGGTTTACCTAAGTCTATATTTAGTCTATATTTAGTTTTTATATTTGGCTTTAGCTATATTGGCCAGATAGAAGTGTAAGTCGTGATTCATGCATATCTTTCAAAGAATACAAACCTCCTATCTTTCTAGGAATAAAACCCACAAGTTTAAAAATAAGTTGCAGCATAGTATTGGGAGGTGATGTCTGTAATTAGAATGCACCTGGATCCTAATGCCAGACCTACCCCGAACTAGTAGCCTGACTGACACGAAACACTCACTTTGCTGTTTGCTTCATCTCTTCTGCAACAGGAGACCAATGAACAAGTACGTGAGGCTTGTGAAGACTGGAGTTCATACACATATAAACTTCAAATATTTTCTAGCCAACAATAGACATTACTGTTTTTATGGTTGTTATTAAACCTGTTTTATCATACTTTTCTGTTACAAAGAAATACAGCATGACAGAATACAGCAGAGTGACTTTACGTCAACCCCTTGCTCACGCTCTGGCTCACTCTGGGTAGGCTCAGCCAGCTCCCCGACGCCATCATAACCTCGGTGCCAGTGACACTCTAGTCTTGACCTCCAGCCTCTTCTTCTTCTTAATTGGCTTCCTGCTGAACCTTCCCATCATGGTGTCTCCTAAGGCACTACATGCCACACTCCACTCTCAGCCTGCCTACTCAGATTTCCAGCAGCTCTCCCAGTCACGGATAGTTTGCAGTTACTTGCACCTGTGTGTAAACCGCCCTTTTTCTTTTCCCTCAAGATAGAGGGCAGCCAGCCAAAGAAAGTTGCTTGTAATTAAACAGTTAAAGCTGGGTGTGGCAGGTGGAGGCAATGCAGTCTTCTCTTCATCCCCCAGTCCAAGTCATGGCGGAGTACTGACTGTCAACCATTACAGTGACCTGGGTCTGTGTTGAGCAGGATGCTCTCTGATAGTAACTGTTGCCTTCTGTTGAATTGTGATGTTGCAAAATGCTTCATGTTATTTGTTATTCGAGAGCAGATGATAGCATGAAAGGCCATGGTGGCAGGCTGGGTGTTCATTCACGTTTCTTAGCAAACCAGCTTTCCTTCCCAGTGTTACCTTGGCCCCTGACAGTGTGAATCACTGCACTGTGCTGGGGTGGAACAGGCGCACCTGTGTGTGGTAAGCACACTCCTTCTCCAGGTGTGTTTTTTGAGCCCTTTCAGAGTCCCATCATCATTTTACAAACAAGCCAGCTCAGTGATTTGGCTCTCCCACACCCCTTCCCACTGCTCCACCTGAAGCAGAAGAAAGAGCAGGCAGCAACCATAGAAACGTGCGAACTTGAAATTTGGGCAGATGGCAGGAGCACCACAAAATTTCAAACCTGTTCTTTTAAACACAAACCAAGAATTCCAAAAAGAAACCCGTGTTTCAGATGATAGAGAACTCTTTATGAAAGGCCCTTTGACTCTTTGGCTCATAAGTTGGTGGAATGTAGTATAATTTAATGTTCTTGAACTTTAATATCTGCAAATGTCACTTCTGATTATATAATACAACTTTTCTCCTAGTCCTCTGATTTCATATTATGAAAATAATACTGATTTATACTAAGGGAAATTGAGTTCTCCCAACCCTGTCTGACTCTCCACTCCTCCCTCATAAATACCAATTAAGACATGCAAACCTTGTATGTCTTTGTTCTCATCTTTGAACTTACATTTAGAATGAAGCAGATATTACCTGTTTTTCTCTAAAGAAAAAAAAACCTTCAAATTGCTAAATGAAGCATGTTTCTCAAATCTATCAAATTTATTAAATTTTATGTAATATTTACTTTGAATTACTGTATAACTGCTAGTCTTCTATTTTCCCACCTGAAGTATATATACTATAAACTTAGCACGTTAAAATATGGAACAGGTGATACAAAATTTTATTTACTTATTTTTTCTTCCCTGCAGGTCATAGAGCTGAATATATGACTACCAGGTAGGAAAACACTTTCATCATAACTCCTAGTATGTCTTACTTTCTTTGCTTCTTTTGCAAGAAGAAATCGTTTATTTAAACGCTGTGAGAATGAGCTTCTTTTATTAACAGTTGTATACAAAAGACAGTTTGGATATGAAAAGAGGATTGCCATGAAACATTTGGCGTTCTCACAAGACAAGATATACTCCAACATATCTGATTCCCAAAGGAATTATAACACTTTAAATAAGGAGAATCCATAACAGAAGCCTAAGTTGAATAAGTGTGGTTTATACAGTCTAAAATACTTCGAATTTTTAGATATTGTCTGACAAGACTTTTAATTCAATAGTTTAGTTAAATAACAGGGTGGTCTGTAAATGTACTGCATTACTAAGTAGAAATTGTTACTACCTGGCTCTGCTTTGCCTTATGGAATAAAAAGTTGAAACTATAATTGAATACCCTTAGGATTGTACCTGTTCACTCCCTTAATGGTTCATGTTAAACATGGAACCTTCAGTGTCAGCAGTCATACTGTCCAATTTTTGCTTGCTTTTTTTTCCATTTATGGACAGGTTTTGGAAAACCGTTTGAGAAGCAGTTTGTGATCTGGCTTGTGGACAGTTTGTAGCAACTATTTTCTGTCACCATTTGTATGTAACAGCCAGCTATGATTCTAGTGGACATAGGGAGAGTTGAACTCTTAAAGTTCTCTTTGAGGCGAGAGAATTGAGAACACTGCGTGCCTGCTGCAGCAGTTGGCACGTGTAGTCTCACTGTTATTGCAGTGCATTTTTTAGTCATGAAGGAAACCCCTCTCACTTCTCGGAGACCAACTCAAAAGGTGCGGTGACTGATTTTTCTAAACTTTTCCAAAGAAAAATCACTCCACCTAGTAATCTGCAGTTCTTGGAGCTTTGGTCTTAACAGGCAGTGTCTGTCTGCACTGTTGTTCTTTAGCATTGTTTCTAAATTGTAAGGTACTGAAAGAAATATTTTTTGAGGGACTCAAACGTTCATTTGCAATGAAAACCTTGATGGCCAGAGAGACTAAATTTTCACGTCAACCTCACCAGTTCTTCTTTTTCATGTGAGTATCCCACGACACAGGATGCCAGATTGTCTGGAGTTTGCATAGCAGGCGCAGTGCCCTGGTGATTCACACACATTTGGCTCTATCTGTGTTCACGGGATGCAGGCATCCTGGGGCCCGAACCACCTCCGCTGTAGGAATTGCTGCTCTAAGGGCCCAGCAGCCATGTCAGTGCCAAGTCCCTTCCACAGCGCTAGGTTCTTCACATGTGCTTTATACCTGGGACCCTTTGGGAGAGGCCCTTCCCTCTACTGGCCCCAGCCAGGGGCTCTCGCTCTTCTCCCAGTCTGCAGGAATTACTATCCAATGTTGCTGGGGCTCCAGTCACAGGGTGGACTTGCTGCAGGAACCACTGACCACATGAGATTCTGATCTCCTTAGGTTCATCAACAGGTGTTACCACACGTGATGCTCCTTGTACCAACCACTTTTCTCGTTTTTGTATGTGACGCTTTGCTACCTGGGCCTTAAGACTCTCGAGGACCTGTCAGTCCCTGAATTAGCCAGTCCCTAGAGAGAGTGTGGAGTGGCTGCTTGCAAGTGCACTTTCAGGACCAGAGCTCGTCCTCCCCACCACCTCTTTAATCAGGCCTAGCCACCCGAGGTCCCACCCAGGCAAAACCCCTGTGCCCACAGACCCCCTGAAATCCTTCAGGCCAACCAGCCCAGGCATGCTCACCCTGCTTCTGCCCTGCTTCTGCCCTTCCTGCCCAGGGGAACCACAATAGCACCTCTGGCTCATATTTTGCCCCCTTTTTCCTTTCTGCCCCCTGCCCAAGCCTGGCCCTTCCCCGTGTGGCCTCTCCTCTAGAGAACTATGAATATATTTTTAGTGGCCATTGTCCCCTGATTGGTTGGGCTCACCATGCCTGAATAAAAACGAAATCCACCGTATTTAAAATGCTTGTAACATGGTGAAAGGAGCTGATGAAATCATTCTCTGGGGGCTGAACTCTGTTGTGGCTAGTTGTTTTATTATTTACACCTGCACCAAATCCATTTTTGCGTGAATGGCACAGACTTCAGGGCAGAAAAAGATTTCCAGAATTTTGGTTGGGGTGAGACATGACAAGTGACTTGGCAGAAGTTTTCATATTCTCTTTTAGATACTTACAAAGGCTCCTTTTAAAGATCTGTGTATTTGTACTTGATTTTTTTTTTACTTGATCATTTTACTTGACACAGTAATAAGGAGGGAGAGTCAAAGAGTTCAGGTTCACTATCCAAGTAGCCATAGCTTCTAGAGTTGAGTTGGTTCAAAGCTGAGAGCCACAAACTTCTTCCGGATCTCCTATGTGGGTGCAGGAGCCCAAGGACTTGAGCCATCCTCTGCTGCTTTTCCGGGCCATTAATAGGTTGCTGGATTGGAAGTGGAGCAGGCCAGGACTCAAAAGAGCACCTACCTATATGGGATACTAACACCACAGGTGGATGGTGAATTTGCTACACCACCATGCAGTCCTCCAACCAATCAGGCCTCAGCAATTCTTCATGTGCTATTTGACCACCCCGTTACCACACCTGCTAGAGATTGCTGGAATTTATGTGTTCCCCTGTATCTTGTTGCTGTGATAGTATCTTAGAAAGCTGGTGAGGCTTCCCCATAAACTTTAGAATCAGACTAACTTGAACAAAATTAACTAGAGTAACTGTTCCCTAGAGTCTGCAGCTTAACGAAGGGCTTGATGTCGTTTCCATGTGTGGTGCACATGCTCCTGTAAGCCCTGCAATTCGAGAGGAGTTTGGATTGGGTTCTTGGTGCTCTCCAGCCATGGGTCCCATTCAGCATGTTTATGGAAACTGAGTCAGGTAACCCTGACCTTGCCTCTAAACGAATGGAGCAGAAGAGGTCCCCTCTCTCTAGTTACAGGCAACTTGACGCGGGAATTCAAATCAGAGGATGTAGTGCCCTGGGTGTGCGCATGTCAGGACTGGCTCATCCACCAAGGACAGTGGTCAGGCTGGAGGTGGCAAGAGTCGAGGATCGTATAAATGAGAATACCCTAATGTTGTGCAAATATTCAGGCCACAGAATAACTTGTTCTTAAGAAATGGTCGTTCAAGGTCCCGGTGGCATGGCCTAGCAGCTAAAGTCCTCGCCTTGAATGTGCTGGGATCCCATATGGGCACTGATTCTAATCCCAGAAGCCCCACTTCCCATTCAGCTCCCTGCTTGTGGCCTGGGAAAGCAGTTGAGGATGGCCCAAAGCCCTGGGACCTTGCACCCACGTGGGAGACCAGGAAAGGGATCTGAGCTCCTGGCTTCGAATCAGCGCAGGACTGGCCATTGTGGTCACTTGGGGAGTGAATCATCGGATGGAAGATATTTCTGTCTCTCCTCCTCTCTGTATACATATCTGACTATGCAATAAAAATAAATAAATCTAAAAAAAAAATAGTCGTTCAAGTAACCTGTGTGAATCCAAATTAGCATTGAAGCTACCAAGAAGTGTGTTATCCATATTTTTCCACTTATGATCCATTAAGTTACTTTTGCATAAAGTAAGAATTCCATTCATATGGAATAAGTGTAATGGTTCTATGCACTGAAGAATTATGATGGAACTATTAAAGTTTTTCTATTTCATTTCTTATTTGGGAGAAGGTCTGTTTGAGTCCTACGTTTTAGGGCTGCTCGTGCTGACTGGGTGATTCATTAACCAAGTAACGAGATCCTCGGTTTGGAACACTGAGCCACAAACACCAGATCCCTTTGGTGCTACTTCCCATCTTTAAGCAAATGAGCCAGTAGATAAAAGTCACGGACAGCACACAGGGAGTTTGCAGTGTGTGTGAATAGCTTGTGTGTGTCTCGATACATGAATAAATGGGAAGAAACAGGAGAGGGGAGGGATTGCTTTCCACCGTGGGTGGGGAGTGGGGAACAACCCAAGATTTTGTGTTTTCTAATTCGGTTGTGACCTGTGGGTGTTGAATGTGTTGTTGGATTTCTACCATGCTCAGTAATTATATTCCCTTCCCTCAGGCCTCCAAATGTTCCCCCTAAGCCCCAGAAACACAGGAAGTGCAGACCCCGCTCACAGTATAATGCTAAGTTGTTTAATGGGGATTTGGAAACATTCGTCAAGGTACTGGCACCAGCCATCCGGGTGGCTGATCTCCATGCTTCTGACTATAATGGCCTCCACCTCTCAGAAAATGAGAGGCAGGTCATTATATACAAGTCTGTCCTGGGGCTTTCTGCTTTCCCCGAAAAATCAATATAACATTTCCTGAAGTCAGAGAGGGAAGCATTATTTGGGCTCAAAGTGCCTTCCGAAGAGGGAACAAATGTGGACATTTTTGGTGGGGGCCGAAGGAAAGCCCTCTGCCTTGAATTTTAAAACAAAACTGCAAAACCGAGCCATCCTTTGCACACACAGGAAAAGAGCAACCTGAGCAATCGCTTTGTTTTCACTTGTGCAAACGAGATGGCTTCAACTACATCCTCCAAACTCCATTTGTCCGCTCACTTGGCAGCGTGACCAGAGTCTTGATTTCCCATGACTTGAGGAATTGATTATATTGGCTCGATTGTAAGACCCTTTAGTCTATAGCTTGGATCTCTGCTGTGTTTACTCCCTGTCTTCTTTTTCATCCTGTATTTCTGCTAATGCTTCTAGCCGAGGACGAAGGAACTCGCACACGAGACATCAGGTATAGTGCTAGAGGGACATGAGGGCATGGCCTCTTTTTTTGCTGTTGGGGTCCTTTTTAAGTCCTACCCATGCTTGGCTTCAATTCGATTTTTAAAAGAAAAATGTTTGCAGTTGGAAATTGGACTTACCAAGAGGCTTTACCAGCCAGGAACTATAAAGCTCAAACTCTAGGAGGAATAATTTTCTTTAGTAAACCTGGATGAAATCTTAGTCTTTAAAGTATGTGTTTGGCAAAGGTAGCAGATTGGAGTTGAAAGCGCTTCCAAAAAATAAAGTCAATGTTAAATACAAATACACATTTGGTACTGGGTTATGGGTCCTAGTGTAAACTGCGCAAAAAGAAAGGAGTTTTTCTTCTCCCTCATGGCTAACATTGGATGAAATGAGCTGCTGTGTTTAAATCGGAAGCAACACTTTAAATAACCTCCCACAGTGCCTTGTTACACACATCTCTCTTCCTTGAAAGGAGGATCTGTTTATCGAACATGTGCGCTGTTGATTCAGAAGTAGTACGGGTGTGTTTACATGTGGCCTGTACATGGACAGATAGAAGGGACAGATATATACATGAGAGATCAGAAACCTCTGGCTGCTTTAAAAGTGGGCCCCAACCCCAGCATTCCGTGAAAAGCTGCTGAAGAAACTGCCTGGCAATCACACATCCAATGCCTTAAGGCTCAAATCTAGAAGAGACTTACTGGCCTTAATTGAATCCAAAATTATTGTTCAATTTGATTATCTTGTTTCCCAGCCCATGGCTTCTGCACAGGGGCAAATTAGATGGAGAAGGGGGAACAGTAAAATGAAAGCCATGCGATGCGCAGCTGATAGGCGGAGAATGTGGAAAAAGCTCCAGGAGGCACATGTCTGATTGCACGATGTCTGCGAATCCAGTGTGAGACTGGCTGCCTGTGACAACGGGGAAAGCATGTGTTGTATCCTTAAAAGATTTCTCATTAAGATCCACTGAAGGAAGCCCAGCTGAAGGGTTCAAGAAGAAATCCACCACCATGCATCATGGAAAATTCACTGAAGTGAGCCCTTCTTGGTCAGAGGGCTGGAGCTCTGGAGGCTGTGGTGGTCCCCCCGCTCCTCATGCATCTGAAAGGTCTCCACACCTTGAGACACAGGAGCAAACCCCTCTTCTGTCTTCCCGCCCCACCTCCGGGGAAACTGAGGCACCATGGGAGTCATCTGAATGGTCCATAGGGTTCAGACCATTGTCTCGCTTCTTATAAAACATGCCCTGCCCGAGCATCTGGCAGCCATGAAATGAAATTAAGACACGCACACACTCATTACTCTTTGACTGCAAAATTCAGTGTGTCCGAATGAAATACTGATCATACCTTAAAAGATCAGCAATTACTTGAGTGAATGTAAAGACAAAAATGCTTTTTAATTATCCAGGAACCTAAGACTTCTTCATTTGGAACTTTGACAGTGCAAACATTTTTCTTTTAATAATCTCTCCTTCTTTGTTTTTAATGCTAAGTTCAGCAGAAGTGTAGACTAATACTCTCTGTTTATCACTTCCATCCAAACAGTGCTTGCTCTTCTTGATGACAGTTTCACATCAGTTATCCATTTGTAGGGCACTTCCTCTGAAATACACTTGGATCTTAAAGAACAGTCCCCTCATGTATTCAGTACATTTTGCTGTAATTACAATGACTGTTCTTAGGCCAACCCGTCCACGCAGAAATGTGTTTTTTATTCTTAAGGCTCTTTAAGGAATTAATAGAATATGTGCTCCTAAAACAAATTAATTAGAGAAACTGAATGCAGACTCCAGAAGCAATTGAATCATTAACTGGTTTATCCACTGATTAGACTGGCTTAAAACTTCCTTTAGAAGTGCATTACCCATTCTGAGAATAGAGAAGAGTTTATTGAACCACAATATTACCAGTTCTTCCTCCACTGCCTCTTTGGAAGGGCTAGTGGATCCTGAATTGTGCTTGTTTATTAAGCAACCAAGTTCTTCTTGTATTTCAGAGTAAAATGTCTCATCAACAAACAGGTGATGCCAGCCACTCGTTTTTGTGTACCATGATTTCTATAAAGATCTAACTCCTAAAACAACAGTCTTAAAAGACAATGGAGAGAATTCGTCATCAGTAACCTTAACTCCATGCAGTTCATGGCCTTCGTGCATATGTAACTGTGACCTCAAGCAGACTCTTCATCTCATTCGTCATCCTGTACATGTGGCAAAGCACTCACAGGTTTCACATTTCTCCAGTAGTGGGCAGAGATTTTTTTTTTTTTTTTGCAAGATACAGGGAAAGGAGGCCAAAAAAATTCATCTAAGAAAGCTAGATCTTAACAGAACCATTCATTTGTTTGTGTACTTTTCCCCCTTAACTCTTAAGATGTGAAAGATCTATGAGGGTGGGTAAGTTCTGATGCAAACCAAATGAATACAAGACCTGTTTTCATTGTGAATAGTCCTGGCATCGTGCACCTGCACCTGTATCCATAAAAGCCCCTTTCTACCAGTGTGTTGTCCTGCTAGGGATGTTATAGGGAGGACTCTGAGATGGCTGAAAAGCCATCACTGGTAATTGGTGCAAGCAATTGGTTGAAAGATGCAGTCCTTTCAAAGATCCTTAAAGATTGCCCACTTGTATTCAGAAATAAAACAATAAACCCTCCAAAAATGAGTTACTCAATTACTCATTTTGGAACATAAGCCTAAGTTTAACTGAAAAGAGATGAATTCGCCCTTGACATCTCTAGGCACAGTCAAATCAAAACAGATCTGCCTGACATGTATTTAATTTGGTTTGCTCCAGAAATATACTTTTGTTGAAATGTAAATTCTTTCACTTTTTTTTCCTCTTTGGCCTTGTGGAATAAAATCCATTACTTGCTGTTGCACTGAGGGCTGAGTTGGTGTGTGACGGCTGGCTGTCCTTTGAGACTAATGGGCTCTTGTCTCTTGACCCAGGACTCAGGACAGGTTATCCCCCTCATCGTGGAAAGCTGCATTCGGTTCATCAACCTCTACGGTAAGCCAGCGATTGCTGGGTTCTGATGCTTAAGAAAAATCTCAAGGAACGTTTCAGCAAATGCATCTTTTCATTGACTGTTCAATTCTGTGTAGCTGGCATGGCGGGATGTCTTATCTCTCTCCTTTCTGTTGTCTTTAGGTCTTCAGCATCAGGGGATTTTCAGAGTATCTGGTTCCCAAGTGGAGGTCAATGATATTAAAAATTCATTTGAGAGAGGTAACTATATGCCCATGCCTATTGGAAAATCGTGGTAAAAAGTGATTATTTCCCTGCAGACTGTAGCAGTTGACTCCTTTTGGATGCCTTGTCAGCTTTTGCCTGCATTTACCTCATTGCTGATGCTGGGGCAAGCTTCTGTGTAGGGGAGTTGAGAATAAAGGCCCAAATCATGAGTCTTAGTTATTAAAGGTAGGAAAGCATATGAGTTTTGTGTCCTCATTCAGGACTTGGCATTGATCATCCCCTGAACTTGTATCAGAGGTAGCACCCAAGAAGGATTCCAGAAGAGGGAAAGGAACAACCCTGGGCCAAGGCAGCTGGTGTCTGAAGGGATCCCTCCCAGTGTTCAGCTCCTTTGTCAGCAGCTTTTTCTTTCCTCCTATTATCATCCCCAGATTCATTCTCCATGACACCAGTTGATGTCCTACCCTTACTCATAATTGGCTGTCAAATAAATTCTCGTAAGCTGTTCTTACCACAGTATGATTAGTAAAATCATTAGAATCAAATTTCACTCTTACTTACTAATCACGGGAGTTGGGTCAATGACTTTGGCCTCGGCTTGCTCAACTGTCAGAGAAGAATTAAATATAATCTATGAAAAATATCTAGCCCTTTAATAGTCGCCATTAGTTCTTAATGCTCTCCAAAGTGCATGATGTCTATTGTTTTGTTTCTGGATACATCCATACCTTCTCTGTCTCTCCCATTTCCTCTGACCCTGGCTTGGCTTAATGCCATCTAGTGTCTGAAGCTTTAGCTGAAGATGTAGACTTGAAGCAGACATGTTTTTTCCTGTTCTAAACTCTGACCATTATGCTGTATCAAGCAGGGCAGGCACCCCCACACCCCTGTCAGCCACTAAGTGTGTCAAATGCCTAAACACATGTGTTCAGGATGATAAGCAGGAATGTGATGGATCGGGCTCCTGGGCCAGCCACTGGAGGCCAGACACTTGACCGTTTTCCTTTGGGAATTACCGCTGGCATTTATTGTTTGGGATCTGTGGAGTGTGGCTTTCCAACAGCAGGGAAATATAAAAATCCTCATGAATTCACATTCAGTGATTTCCCACCCAGAAGTAAGGAAGAACAAACAGGTCGTTGAAAATGAAACTGCTACAAGAGGGAAAAATCAATGAAAATCCCAAGCACCATGATGAACTTGAGAAAAGATGCCTATGGATATTTAAAAAAAAAAAAAAAAAGGACCTTGATCTCAAGTTGCATATTACGTGGAACTTACTGAGGATTTTATTTCATGAGAGATGAACTAGCCTGCCCAGTTACCTGTTCTTTTGCACCTGCTTAATATAAACAAGAATATAATTTTAGATTGATGATATTTCTATAAAATGCCCGTTTTTATGTAAACTCTTCAATTCCATTAAGGTTACATTTTCAAATTCTTCTGCCTGATTCCAACATCAGCCCTTGTTCAAGTGGCTCTCTTGTGTGCTGTGAACACCAACAAGCCAATTTGGGAAACACCTGTTGATTTAACAGTGTTTAAACAGTGTCTATAATTTATGTTTTTAAAGATTTATTCATTTTTATTGGAAAGGCAGATTTACAGAGATAAAGATCTTCCTTCTGCTGATTCACTCCCCAAGTGGCTTCAATGGCCGGAACTGAGCTGATCTGAAGCCAGGAACCAGGAGCTTCTTCCCAGTTTCCTATGCAGGTGCAGGATCCCAAGGCTTTGGGCCATCCTGCACTGCTTTCCCAGGCCACAAGCAGGGAGCTGGATGGAAAGTGGAGCAGCAAGGACATTAACCAGCACCCATATGGGACTCCAGCAGATGCTAGGCGAGGATTTAGCTCTAGGCTCTGGCACCAGGCCCTGCAATTAATATTTGATATTTCTGATAGGTTTTGATAGCCCACATAGTATAGCCAGGTGGACCTACACTCACTGTCTTTTTTCTAGTGGGGTACGAAATGGAGAATGTAGTATTTGAATTCATGTCAAAGTAAGATTACTGATTTTAGCTCTTTAAAAAAATGTTGGGCAAAATTATAAATCCCACAGTATTTTATTTTAAGGTTTGGGTAACTTGCAAGGGGATTATTTGGCAGTATAAGACTTTTTCTAAAGCCTTACTTTAGTCAAGTATTTTTAGGTTAATCATAGGGTAGACTATCTAAACCAATTATTTTAATTTTAGAACCGTATAATCTTTTATAAAGCATAATTAAAAGATAAATGTGTATATAGTAGTGTGTGTGTGTGTGTAGAAACATTTTTTTTTTTTCGGAGAAAATAAAGAGGCATGGTGCATATAACCCATTTTTCTTTTTAGGTGAAAATCCATTGGCAGATGACCAGAGTAACCATGACATTAACTCGGTGGCTGGCGTTCTGAAGCTCTACTTCCGTGGGCTGGAAAACCCCCTCTTTCCTAAGGAAAGATTTAATGATCTGATTTCGTGTATCAGTAAGTGGGCCTTTACCCCTGCCCTCCCCCCAAGTCTATTTACCAACTTGCTGGAAAAGCAGGCGGCCTCCTCTGCATAGTTTCCCTGACTCCTATTACTCCGTCACCACCAAATTTTTATTTCCTTTCTGGATCCAGTGTGAGTCATGCTCCCAGCTGTGGCCTCACCCTGAGCCGGGTGGACTTTGTTGTTTGAACATCCTCTGGCTGCACGCTTCCCACTTGGCACCTGGGAAAAACGCAAAAGGCAGATGCCTCAGGGAGAGAGGGAAAGCTGGGACCCTGGGAATGCAGCCTTCTCTTGGCTTCCGGGTGTTGGTTTTCTCAATCAACTTTAGCAGTGGAATCATTGATCCACCTCTGAGCATGACTTCTTCAAGAAACAAAGTCAAATGAGATAAGTGATCATTATTGTGGTGTGGCAACACCAGGTGGTCATCACCTGTCAGCAGGCGTCCCATGCTAACAGGCAGCGTCGCTCTGAGTCTGTGTAATGTGTTACAGAACCAGGGATCATCAGTGAAGTGAAGCGTTTCCCTCCCCCTGCCCCGGTGGGGGCTTTTGTACCTGCACAAAGGAAAGTGAAAATGAGATCCAGAAGTAGATGTGCACCACAGTCAGGTTCCATGAGTCCCTTGGGTCCGGATTCCCAGACAAGAGCCTACCAGCTGACTGCAGCCACCTGAGCTTTGCTGTTGGTAAACACAGCTGCCCCTTGGACTCTTCACCCCAACCTGAAGTCCTGTGAATTTGATGCCCAGGCAGATCTCTGCTCATCCCTTCTTCCTCATGACCCTGGTTTCTCAAGGCGGTGTTAACAGTCCCCTGGGTCTTGTGCTGCCTCCACAACTCCCTTTCCCTGCCACATTGTCCTCGCTGTCCTGCGGCACGATTCAAGGGCAACATTGAGTTGTGGAGTCTCTCATGTTTCAGCATTTCCCACAAATGGTCCCAGGAACTCCTTGGTATGACCAAGCAGCTCGTGGACTTGACCTCTTTCTTCGTCTGATGTTTTCTTCTCTTGGATATCTTCCTGCTGTTTTGCAATTTTTTCCTGTCACCCTTACCCTGTATTTCCACAGTAGTGAACCGTGCACATGCCAGGCCACTTCCCATCCCATGCCCTTGGCCACACTGTTTCCTTTGCCGAGTCTGAGATCCATCTGACCTCTGCTGTGACGGCTGCACCGAGCTGGCTTCCTCTGGAGCGCCAGCTGCGCCATTGACCTCCTTGAGCAGAATTCCTAGCTTTGTGCTCTGCTGATGTTCCGCTGTGGACACATGTGCCATTTTCCTTACTAAAGAGTTGTTTTACCCTTCCTGTCTCCACGCACAGGAGAGAACATTTAGGAATTTGCAGGCTTCAGACTGAATCTTGCTTCTGCCACTTGCTCCCCAGCCATTTGAACATAGGCAGGTTTCTGGAACCCTCTGCAACTGGATCTCCTCATCAAAAAGCTAGGAGTCAGTCAGTCACATATCCCTGGGTTTGGGGGATTAGATGAATTAATATAGGTAAAGTGTCAGGGAATGCCCGCTGCAGTGCCCATGGTTAGTGCCACAGGCCTTCATGGGTTATGTAACTTATAACCATCACACTTGATGTGATCCATGTCTTAGAGTAAATGCTCAATACATAATTGAATTGAAAAACCAACATCCCATCCATGCCCAACATACTGGCCTGGTTTGGGTATGAATCTCCCAGTTAGACATGCCGTGTGTGCTTTAAAGCTATGTGTGTCCAGACCAACGTCCTCACACAGCCTTAGTCATCACAGCAAACCTCTGACCCAGCTGGAAAGAGCTGGAAATGAGGTGTCTTAGCTCTGGAATTCTCCTTTGGCCCTCTCTAGTGATTTCCCTCATATCCCAGCCAGAAAACTTAAGAATGGGAAAATATGAAGTATTCTAAAACGCTTAGCAGTTTTCTAGGTGCACATGTCATGCTAACTTCAGCATGTGTAGGAATCAGTTAGATAAAGAGCTCTGGGCTCTTTATCATCTGTTGCTACTGAAGAAATGATTTTATAGTCATCTGATGAGAAATATTATTTTGTTATAGTTATTAATAGTTGAAGCCATAGAGTAAGAATACTCTAGGTTTAAATCCTGCCTTCACCGCTTGGCAACTTTTTTAATTTAGGCAAATATTAAAACTTTAATCCTTTTAAAGTAACAGCCTTGTCATCTACTTCCTAGAGCTCATGTGAAGAGTGAATGAGATAATCCATATAAAATGTTACCTGGTAAATAGTAAGTTTCAGTAAATGTGTGTACTGTTGGTACTACTCGTGTTAGAATGTATGCCTCGGGTCACGTGTTAGACTATTTCTTTGACCTCACATGCATTTACAAATGGCAGCTGAGACAGGCATTGTGGCAAAAGTCCAGCTGACATTTGGGATGCCCACATTCCACATGAGGTACCTGGTTTGAGTCCTAGCACCTCTGTTTCTAGTCTCACTTCCTGCTAACTCATCTTGAGGGGCATCAGATGATGGCTCCAATGCCTGTCATCTCTGTAAGAGACACAGCTGGAGTTCTGGGCATCTGGCTTCAGTCTAGCACAAGGTATTGTGGGCACTTGGAGAACGAGCCAACACATTAAATCAATCAGTCCATCTCTCTCCACCGATTCAAGTAGATTAATTAATTAAAGACATTATATTTTTGTAACCCAGAACTTACTTTGGATGCAACCTGTTTCCCAGCACATTAAATGCTTTGTAACAAGGCCAACCTTTCTTACACTTTAGAAATTGAGAGAGCCAAGTTTACACATTTTGATATATAGTCAGTAAGGAAAGGTGCAATCTACGGAAGTCTCTGTCAGGCCAGTGCCGCCTGGCATGCCCAGATGAAGAGCTGCAAGGATGTTGCCCACTGTACTAAAACGAGATCCAAATAACCAGCAGGTTAATAATCCGTTCATTTTAGACGTTTTTCTTCACTTGACAAGCAAAACGATGGAAAGAAATTAGCAGAATTCCCTTGTAGTGTTTCACTTCCCAAATGAATTTTATTTGTTTGAAAGGGTCACAGAGAGACAGAGAGAGAGACAGATGCCCAGTTCCAACTGTTCTGGCATTTGGGGACTGAACTAGCAGGTGTAAGATTCTCCCTCTTCTCCTGTGTCTCTCTGTCTCTCCTTCTTTCCTCACTATCTCTCCACCCTCTTCCCCTTTCCTCTTCCCCTTATTCCCTATCCCTCTCTAAGTACCAGTCACTCTGCCTTTCAGATAGTAAATAAACCTTTAAACACACAAAGTTTGCAGATACTGAATGGTCTGCCTCCAACCCTGTTATTCCCAGTGCGTCTTGCTATTTTTAGTGATTTTGCAGATTGGAGGGTTTTTCAGGAATACATATTGGCCTTAATAGCCTCTTTCTACAACAACCCCTTTATGTAACAACACCCTTCCCCCTAACATCTCACTTCTTTTAAAATTGGGTGAGAGGGGGATTCTTAACTTCCATTGATTGCTCTCTGTGAAAGCATTTTCTTCTCTTACCAGTGTGAATGTGATACATCTATATTTTTTCCTGTATTTTCAATAAATTCTTCGATAATGACATTTTATATAATTATTATATCCTATCATCATATCTTTTCATTGGTGTAATAGATTTTTGGTGCTTTCATACAAGCTGATTACCTAACTACAATGTCCAAAATAGATGGAAAATCTTCCTCTCTGTCTCTCTCCCTCTCTGTATATCTGACTTTCCAATAAAAATAACATAAATCTTTTTTTAAAAAGTATTCTAGGTTAGCTTATGATGGAAGCACAAACATTTAGAAATCTGGGGAGAGGATCTCAGAGTGACTTTATTCCGATGTCATCTTGTGGCACTGTTACAGCTGGCTTTGACTTCTCCATAGGTAATTTCATGTGACAGCTATTTTGTATGGAAAAGTCTTTTTCATCTTTTCTAAAAAAGAGAGAGAGAGAGAGAGAAAGGTTATTTAAGCCCCCAGAGCACCCGTTTTTTTCTTACCTATTTTTGGATTATTTGGGAGAAAGATATGCTCATGGGTTAATTCTTTTCTGGCCATATTTGTACCCCTAAATGATCACATTCTTTAGAAGTTTAAAAAATATATATATGTGACAAAAGGAAATTTCCTTGGAAAACTTACCACTCTTAGAAAGCCCTACCAGTCTCTCACTCTCTTTAAAAATATGCCTATTCATTCATGAATTCCCTATACATTTTTTTTAAGTATATGGATGAAGGCATGGTAGAATAAAGTGCAACATAGTTTTGAAGTGACAAACTTAGTAGCTTGTCACCCAAGGATTGTTTTGTTTGAAAACCATCCACTTTGTGAATGGTTTTGTGAATGTGCCAGGTTGTACCCACACAGTCCAAGCAGCTTCTAGAACATCCACGTGTCATGACTCAGAGATTCCCAAGGGCATAAATCCCAGTGACTGGCTCTAGAAGAGCCATTCCAAAGCCATTTGTGGTTTTCCTGGCCGCTTTGGCACTTACGGACCAACTGAAACATTTGCACTTCATTTTGCATTACACATGATTATTTCGGTAACTGATTAGACACGAGGAAGCAGTCTGGGAGGGAAAGGCTTGGTTCCTATCACAAAGCCAGCCTGTAGTTCCCATAGAGCACGTGAAAGTACACAGAGGCACAGAGCGGACAATACTACCCCTGTGACAGTGACACCACTGAAGAACCAGTGCCCTGTACACTTCGTGTTGCCTTTCCTCCCGGCTTTTTGTTAATGCAGGTTCACATCCAACATTTTGAAAGCCAAAATGGAACTGCGCTGTGCATACTGTTCATAATCTACCTTATTTTAACTTTCATGTTATAAAAACGAGTAATGACTAAAGAAAACAGAACAGTGCATGTACTTACATGTAAGTCATCACTCAGCTGTGACAGCTCTCATTTCTTTGTCACATCTGTCCTCCTCCGTATCCACTTCTTCATCCCTGATTTCATGTCATTTGTCTGTGTGTGTCTGAGAATTGGGGACCTCTCCTCCCTACCATATTTTGAATTGTAAAACCAACATGTAGGGCTGGCACCATGGTTAATCCTCTGCCTGAAGCACTGGCATCCCCTGTGGACACCAGTTCATGTCTTGGCTGCTCCACATCCTAACCTGCGCCCTGCTACTGGCCTGGAAAACCAGTGGTGGATGGCCCAAGGCCAGGGGCTCCTCTATGCATGTGCAAGATCCTGTAGAAGCTCCTGGCTCCTGACTTTGGAATAGCTTTAAAAAAGAAAAGAGCATGTAATCATGATAGAGAACTTTAGAAATATACAACAACCCAGGGCCCGGCATGATAACAGAGTGGTTAAAGTCCTTGCCTTGCACGTGCCAGGATCCCATATGGGTGCCGGTTCTAATGCAGGCTACTCCACTTCCCATCTAGCTCCCTGCTTATGGCCTGGGAATGCAGTTGAGGACGGCCCAAAGCCTTGGGACCCTGTACCCACGTGGGAGACCTGGAGGAAGTTCCTGGCTCCTGGCTTTGGATCAGCGCAGCACTGGCCATTGTGGTCGCTTGGGGAGTCAGATGGAAGATCTTCTTCTCTGTATATCTGACTTTACAATTAAATAAATCTTAAAAAAAAAAAAGAAATATGCAAAAACCCATAAAGCAAAATACTGTCCTTAGTGATCGTCCTCCGCACCGAGGATCAATGGTGTCCACATTTTATGTCCAAAAATTAGGTTGTGTGTGAACAAATGCCACATTATAACTCTTCTGCCATTATGTACCAGTGTTCTACCCTAAAACATGGACAGCCTTCTAAGATCATCACATAGGCAACCTGTGCTTTGGGAAAGAATTGTTCTTTATGTAATCGGTACATATTCCCTGTAAAAAAAAAAAAGTAACTATAAAATGAACTACGATCATCACCCATAATGTCTCTGTACAGAGGTGATGTTCATCATTTTAGTGTCTTTAAAGCATTTTCTCTGTGTATACCTGTGTACTTTATTGACATAAAATTCTCTTAATTGATAGTTCATTTGTTAAAGAGAGCGATTAGGGACAGGAGTTTGACATAGATAGCATGGCACTGGGAAGCCAGTTTCCCACGTCAGAATCCCTGAGCTCCAGCTCTCCTTCCAATTTCCACTTTTTATTCATGGGCATCCTTGGAGGCAGCAGGAGGTGATGGATCAGATGCCCGGGTTCTTGGCCCCTGTGAGACCTGGGTTGAGTGTCTGCTTCCTGGCTCCGGCCTGAACCAGTCTCAGCTGCTGCACATGCTCACACTGGCTCTCTTGCTCTGTCCTCTTACTTCCACGCCATCAGATTTTCTTTAAAGCACAGTTAAGCGGGTTTTAGTATTTTCACGGTATTATGCAACCCTCACTTTTAGAATATTCCCTAAAATATTCCCTAAAAAGGCAACCTCAATGAGCAAACATTTGCTATCCTTACTCAGCCCTGACTGCCGCCCTCCCCAGTTCACCCAGCCTCATCTAGTCGTGGGTCTACTTCCCAGGCTCGTACATTAGCTTGTTCGGACCTTTTCACATAAATGGATTTATACCAGGGTTCTTCAGAAAGTTCATGGAAAGTGAAGTTAAAACATACCTTTATTGTGATGCAAAAATACAGTTTCTTTATGTGGTTTTTTTCATAATGTACATTTTTGTTAACTTTTGGAAGGACCCGCAGATGTGCCTTCTCAGCGTAACATTTGCAGCCATCATCCATGTTGCAATTATCAGTGCTTCATTCCTTTTGATCACCAAATAACATTGCATTATATGACTATACCATTTCTGTGCACAGAAAATGTGCACAGAAATGGTATATATATATATATATATATATATATAATTTTACTTATTTTATTGGAAAGTCAGGTTTATGGAGTGAAAGATCTTCCGTCCACTAGTTCACTCCTCAAGTGGCCACAGTTGCCAGAGCTGAGCTGATCCAAAGCCAAGAGCCAGGAGCTTCTTCCGGGTCTCCCACATGGGTTCAGGGTCCCAAGGCTTTGGGCCATCCTCTACTGCTTTCCTAGACCACAAGCAGGGAACTGGATGGGAAGTGGAGCAGCTGGAACACAAACTGGTGCCTATATGGGATCCCAGCACATACAAGGCAAGGATTTAGCCACTAGGCTATTGCGCTGAGCTCACAAATATTTTTAAAGATTTAACTATTGGAAAATCAGAGTGACCAAGAGGGAGAGACAGAGAAATATCTTCCATCCCCTGGGTCACCACCTATATGGGGATGTTATTAACATTTTAGTATTATGAAGTTATGCTATTATTTTTACAGTTTATATTGAAGGACTCAAAATATTACAGATGTGTTAACTGAATGATAGCATTTTACTTATATTCAGGTTTCTGAGATGTTTTCTAAAAGAAGACAGAACAATAGTTCCAACAATGGCATGCTTAACACTGGGGATGGAATCGCTGCTTTATTTTTTTTTCCAGGAATCCTCATAAGCTATTTGTTGTGTCCAAGCAAAATTATTTTTCTGCCTTTTTTCACAGTGAGAGGGGAAAAGGAAGTGCTGATTTTGATAATAAGTGGAAAGCAGGTGGGGCCAGCACCCCAGAATACAAAAAAATGAACTTGGCATGAGCAATTAAGGCAGTGCTCCCCAACCTTGGCCACAGAAAAGAATCACAGACATCAGCAGGTTATTTTTTTTTTTTTTTGAAGGATCCCCATGTGACTCCAAGTCAAGGCTGGGAACTTCTGGCCTAAAAAGACCTGGAAAGAAAGACCAGGGCAAAGAGAGTATGATCATGGCTGCTCTGGGAAATAATTAATATTCCAAGAAGGGAATACGCAGTGAGATGTCCAGACATAAGACCATGAGAGAATCAATGGACCAGAGTGTCAGAAGGGAAGGACTGAGAGTTTTCAAGTAGAGCCCATGAAAACCTTGAGAGCCGTTAAAGACAAACAGGAGTAGTGACATGAAATTACAGGCAGCTTCAACATGTTTTTAAGTATATTATCTTCTTTTTAAAAGTATGTTCTCAAAAGTGTGGCTTCAGGATGCCTTCAAAGCTTGGAGATGCTTGGAAAGATACTTGGAAAACCTTGAGGTCAGATCCATGAAGCACAGAGTGCAGATTCTGCCCCTTGCACCCAAGGAAAGCCCCTTGCCCAGTTTCCATTTTCCTCGTCTGTTAATTGTGCATGTCAAGGGTGCGCCCTGCCTTCTCCACAGCATGCTTACTATTCCACTTGGGCAACAAATATAAAACGGTGCTGCAAAATGGACCGTTCTGCCAATAATGCATTGTTAGTTGTAACCCTGTAGACTGCTGTTCACCAGCACTTCAGTATTGTGACATTCTGAACAATTGACATTTGTAGTGAAGATGCTAAAAGTCCTGTGATATTCCTCTGTTAAAGGGACTTACCATCCGAGGGAGGAGACAGGATAAAGACATGGAGAACCGTGAATACCGTGCTGTGCTTTCTCTAAGGATGAGAATTGTACTCCTGCTGTATTGCTACACTTAGTCCAGTGCTTGAAACCTAGCAGGTGCTCCTCAGATGTTTGTTTAAAAAACTGCTGAAATAATGTGATACACGGGGCCCAGCGTGGTGGCCCAGATGTTAAAGTCCTCGCCATGAATGCTCCAGGATCCTATATGGGCACTGGCTCTAATCCCAGCAGCCCCACTTTCCATCCAGCTCCCTGCCTGTGACCTGGGAAAGCAGTTGAGGACAGCCCAAAGCTTTGGGACCCTGCACCAGCGTGGGAAACCTAGAAGAAGCTCCTGGCTCCTGGCTTTGGATTGGCTCAGCTCCAAACATTACAGCCGCTTGAGGAGTGAACCATCAGACGGAAGATCTTCCTCTCTGTCTCCTTCTCTGTTTATCAGCCTTTCCAATAAAAATAAATAATATTTAAAAATATATATTTGATAGATGATAAAATGCCTTACAAATAAAATGCTTTGGTAGTTTTGAAGGGAGGGATCCAAAACCTGGCACATTGGTTGAATCATAGGAACAGACCAATAGATACATGATAAATTACCAAGTAATTGTTCTGAAGTGGGGTGGGCAGAGTGTTGCCATGTCCCAGAAAGCTATTTTAGTTAACACACAGTCAAGATGAGTAAAACCGTATCACATACAAAATTTAGAATTAGCAGCAAGGGATTAATGAGTTTAAATCACAAAGACTGAAAATGATTCAAGGCCAGGATGGTAAGGAGAAACAGTGACAGATCCGAGGCGTGGACCCCGAGACACACTTGTGTGCTCAGGATGGTCCCTGTGCTCTCTGCCGGTTACAGCTGCATCACCCCGGCTAGAAGCCACTGTGCTCCCTGAGGATGTGCTTCCCCAGGACAGGCGGAAGGACCAACCATGTCTCTCTTCTGTCCACAGGAATAGATAATCTCTATGAGAGGGCGCTCCACATCCGCAAACTCCTCCTAACCTTGCCCCGGTCGGTCCTGATAGTGATGAGGTACCTCTTTGCTTTCCTCAATCAGTAAGTATCCAGATATCCTGTCCAAATGCCCTCTGACTTTTACCTTTGTTCTTGGCCCCTGTCAAATGTGTGTTGGGTTGCAAGCGTCAGCAGAGTCCCAGAGAAGATGATTGACTGTGGACTGAAGGTACATTTTCCCCAGCAGATCAAGGTCATTGTGGGATAGTTGAAAGCTCTACCCCAGTAGCTATCATTGCAAAAACAACCCGAATGTGACTACAGACACATTTTTCAGAGAAATCTGTTTTTCCAGCTTCCATCCAAAGCTAATGTCATGAATGTTTTTTTTTTTCAAAATGCTATAAACCACCTGCTGAAAATGTCTGTAATTTTTTTAATGTTGTAGTCAGTGATGGAAGGACATCATAGATGAGCCATTACGCCCAGATCCAAAAGAGAATGTCTGTAAATTGACTGTGAGGAGAAAATATTTCCAGTACATTCTACAAAACAATGTAACAAAAATCTTGGCGGGGGGGGGGGGAACCTAAATTATTTTCAGAAAAACTTTACTCTTAATTTAAATATTCTATCTTATTGTACGTATTCCTTTGTAATAATTGGGCCCTGTTATAAGAGCATCGTCCGCAAGTGCTATGTAGAAACCCCCTTGCTATTCCACATTTCAGATAAGAAATCAAAAATCAGTTCTTCAAGAAGTCCACACAAAATGAAATGAAAAGATAGCATTCTGCGTGAGTCATGAAGGCGCCTTGTTAGTGAAGTTGATGTGGAGTCGACATGTTGAGGAAGCTGGGGGGTACACCTTCTCCTCTGGCTCAGATTCTCCCTTCTACCATTGGGATATTTTTTTTCTCTGTTCCACTGGAGAGTTTCAGTTCTCAGAAGCCATGGACATTTATTCCCACCCTGTTGATGAGTCCTGAGCTCCTGCCCACTCAGGTGGACCCTAGGAGCCTTGCATCATTCCATTGGTGGAAACACTGGCAGGGAACTGTCCAGTATGGTGCTCTACTGCTGATCCTGGGGGCCTCAGTCTCCCACTTTTACAGAAATTACCACTGGAAATAAGTGGCATCTGGACATATGTAAAGTGCTTACGTTAAAGGGATTCCATCCATGTTTACTTCTAGATAAGCCTGGTTAACCGGGCAACTGTGAAAATGTGAGGCTTCTCTTTCTTGCCTTTCTCTGCCTGAGTTCCTTCACCTTTCCAAGCATGGACTTCTGCTGGCCCCCTCTCCTTGCTGTTCCTGCCATTGTCCTGACATACCTGAGTAAAACCCATTGTGAACCAATCAACTACAGTGGACAAAGAAAGCAGTCTGTTAATCAGAAGTTTTCTCAAAACCTAGATCTAATCCATCCTCAGTAACCCGAGGGCAGACAGGACAGTGCCCCCAGAGATTCTATCCAAGTTGCCCGTCAGCCACCTGTACCTGCCTTCCCGCAGAGAAGGTTAGCTTGCTTGGGACAGGAAGTCTGAAAAGAGAGTTCTGTTTTTTTTTTTTATTGTAAATTCAAAACATTGGAAGTACCGTTTCCATATCAAGTTTATGTTTTTCAAGTGAGCACTAAATTAAAAACCCTGAAAGATTAATTGTGACTCCCGACCCGCGTGGAACTCCCCTGTGCCTTGGGAGAGGTAGACCGTTGTTCTCTGGCTCTCACTGCTTTCGGCTTCCATTTCCAAGACGATCTGTAATGTGATCAGATCTTTGCTGTTACTGTGATCTTTTTCAAAGATCCTATGCTCGGGAGATGGCAGAAGAAAAGACATATGTTAGCTGTATAAATGATACTCTTGTCTTTTTTGACTCTACCCTGTCTTATTTCTGAAAAAGGATAAAGTATCGTGCCACGTGGTCTTTCTGTTTCTTCATGTCTGTCGTCTCGCAGTGGTAGTTAGGTTTCCTTTGTCTCCTTCCACTTGTCATCTGTTTGCAATTTCCTTTCAAGACTGACATCCTATACAAGGGAAGATAGCATCTCTGGATTCTCCCTAAAGTAGCAGTTTGTCCCATGTTAGAGACATCGCAGGAAAGAGCTTAGAGTGAGTCACCTGTGCGCATGTTTTAACATCTATTCGCTGGACTGAATTGAGAAAGTAATGCCAGACTCCAAGAAATCTCCCCCGGCATTTGTCATCCTCCAATACAATGACAGAGTTGAGGATGGTCTTTTGTGACAATGGTGATTGCCTAGTGTTCTCCATCTTGCCAGAAAGCAGATGATAAATTCGGAAGATGTTATGCGATATGCCTCTTGTAGTAGTTACATAGACAAGGTGCCTCGTTTTCCACCACACGTTTCCTTACTTCCTCAGTAATAGATAACTGAAATGTGTGATGTTTTTTAGTTATGGGAGAATAATTTTAAAGCCATCCGTAATGCTGTGTGGGAATTATTACTGTCATTCCCAGATTTACTAAGCAGTATTTTGGATCTGACCATAAAATTTACAAGTGAAACTCATTTACCTGGTCCTTGTCTACACTGCAATGGTTATTATATCCCTCCCTTGTGACCATGAAAAATTCCATTTACTTAAGCAAATAGGACTCATATTCCCCTCAATTTCTACCAAGTTGGAAGTCATGGCTTTGAAGGTTCAATTTCCTTGTGGTTTGATGAACAAACTTATAATCAGTTGGAACACCATTTTGTTCCAATAAAAAACAAATAAAAATCTTAACTCCTGATTTGCAAAATATTAATATCTTATAAAACATCTATTTTCTTTTTCCTTCCTGTTCTGCTATAACTCCTTGTTTCTTTCCATAGTCTTTCACAGTACAGCGATGAGAACATGATGGATCCTTATAACCTGGCCATTTGCTTTGGCCCCACATTGATGCCTGTCCCAGAAATACAGGATCAAGTGTCTTGCCAGGCCCATGTGAATGAAATTATCAAAACCATCATCATCCACCATGAGACCATTTTCCCAGATGCTAAAGAAATGGATGGCCCTGTTTATGAGAAATGTATGGCTGGAGATGACTATTGGTAAGTTCAAAAATTGTAGCTCTCTTATACAAAAAAAATAAATTAAAAAATTATAGACACGAAAATGTCAGCTGAGGTAGACAAAAATAATTGTCCATAGTCACTAGTGTTTCAAATTTTAAAAATATGCATTTTAAGGAAAAATGCTTGAGGTGATACCAGGACCCACACCAACCTTGTGTCTTATGTGAGAATTCATCTTCATCCTTTCTTTTTCCCTAACAATAACATCTCTTTAGATATCTGTCCTAACCTGACTTTTGTAGATAGTGAATGTTTTGATGTCATATTGGGCAATATTAATTTCTATTTTTACCTTAAATAAAAAGCAATTGAAAATTTTCATTGTGAATTGGGTAACTTTGGTTCTTTATGAAGCTTTTCAAAATTCTAATTTTAAAGGAAACGATAGCAACTATTTTTATTCTTATTTTCACTTTCACACTTGCTAATAAGTATTATTCTGACCAATTATACTAGTAAAAGTCATTGTGAACAAACAGTTGGAGTAAAAAAAAAATCTTAATATGGTGTGTCATCATTTTCCAACCAAGTATAGAAATGGTGGAAATATAATCAGTCAAGTAATCCCAAAAAGTGTTTGTGTTCACTATTTGATACATCAGTTTCCAGTTTCTAAATACAATGGAAGAATCTCTGATCTCTTGAGCTGGCTCCTCCGTACCTATGATCTTGTTTACCGTGATCATTCTATCAAGTAAGTTAAGAGGCCAAGGAAAGTGTCCAGAGAAATTGGCTGGAGGTAGCCCAGATGATTGCAGAGGCCACACAGATCTTCCCACGCAGCAGTCTCAGCCTAGTGCAAACAGCCCTGAAGAGCTCAGCTTCAGGGCACCTGGAATTAGGCGGTCTAAATCCTTCATCTTGGGCTCTGCTGAGGGCACTTCATCCCGTTCTGAAAACCAAGTACAAGTGGAATGAGTAACAGAAAGACCATTAAATAACCGAAAGCACTTTTTTCCCACTTGGGCCTCAGTGTGATTATACCCCTTCGGAAAACTGAGGGTAGACCATTCCCAGAAATACTGCTTTCTGAAGTAGCAACAAAAGATGCTGGTTTCCATCATGTTTCTTTACACAGAAATCCCCACTCAAAAATATGGACTTGAGCATTTATAATGTACAAGCTACTGAGTTTACCTCTGCTAGCATAAATGAATAAAACTCAGGACTGCTGGATCCATAATCTTATTTTCAAAGACATTTTTTATGGTCAATGTCAAAACCATGTTGTGTCTTCACAGCTGCCTTACTCATTTTATTGAAGAGTAACCATGTAGGTGTCTGGTCAGTATTATTTGATGTGTTGAATCCTAGGACAATTTGTGATTGCTGCTTTTCCCAAACAGGGTAGAAGTTCCTTAATAGTCCTATAGCTAGACTTACAGTGGGATCCAAGAGCAACCGTGTAACAGCCTCTTAACAGGAGGTCATGTGCACAGAGGGGATCCCAGAGCAAAAGAGGAGGACAAGAGCAGGTCTGTATCCTAGTGCCGGAGACTCCCAGAGGGCTCCCAAGTGCTTTTGCCACAGAAGCCATGGGTATTTCAGCAAGGACTGTCAGTATCAGCACCAAGGACCATAACCCGACTGCCAGAGAGATCACAGGAATTTAAGTGTCCTCGTAGGCCAAGAACTGAGTTCAGTCATTTCCTATGGGATCTCCTACGTGGGATGGAAGCAGTCTGAAACCCATAGGGTCTGGTGACATCTGAACAACGGCAAGGACCCCAGGTGGTCCTGAGAGAGAAAAGAAGTATAAAGTTCCTTCTGGACTCAGGAGAGCTTTCTCTGGTCCTTACTTAGTTCCAGCTTTGGCTCCCCATCCTCTCTTGCACTGACCATCAGTGTCGCTCAAGAGCCCCAAAATTATCTCAGACAGGGACTTAATATAGAAAGCCTTGAACAGACAGGAAAAGGTCATCTGGCCTATAATTGTTCAGCCTGTACCTTACTGGTCAGGCTCCCAATCTGGCTTTTCCTAGACCTCACTAGGTAGGATGCAGAGTTCAGTTATTCCTCACTTGCTAAGTCATTGGGGATTTCTCTCCTCACCCGCCTAAGACAGTTCTACTCTTCAGTTGTTAATATATGGCTTGTTAGAGTTATAAGTCTGTTTTGATTATCCTAAAATGCATGAAGTTCTGTAAAATCTTGCTTGAATACTAAAAACTGCTAAGTTTAAATATAATAAAACATTAAAAGGAAATTTAAAAAATAGTCCTATAGCTGGGGAACATGTGCTTATGGAATTCCTTCTCATACTCTCTGCTCTCCAGGAATTTCATTCACGTTCAACAGAAAATAACATAGCTGTTACCCTCACCCCCAACATCAGCAATGTAAAAGGATTTCATGAAAAGGTCAAATTTATGTGTATGATGAATGTAGTCCATCTGTCAGCACACATTTGAGGACAGAAGGAGATGGACAGTCAAGGGATTTTAAAAGAAGACAATATCACACCTCTCCTACACAGAAAATATGGCAGCCAGTTCAAAGGTGAAGCCACAGAATCATACATATATATTGGTAAAGGAATTTACAGCCATGTTCAGTCAGAATCCATCCAGCTTGCCTTACTCTGGATCATACTTATTTATAACTGCTAACATTTCTCTACAAGTCCATTAATATATTATATATACTCCTGTAAGCTTCGTTAACTATATTAATTGAAGCTCCAGCATCCCATTTTCAGATTAGCCAGGAATGCTTTTGCCATTCTGAAGTCTTGTAGTTTTGCTTACAGCAGCAGCAACTGTTCATTTTCAAAACTGTCTACTGTACACTACTATAAATGTGTGTCTGTTCTCCAGTGACAGCCCATACAGTGAACACGGTACATTGGAGGAAGTGGACCAGGATGCTGGGACGGAGCCCCACACCAGCGAAGATGGTATGCCCTGGACTCATGCTCTTATTAATACTAGTCCTTATATCCTCGTTCTTAAGAAATTACTTCTAGTATAAATCCCACAAGCACAAAAATATTTGTGTAAAGAATATGTAAGTACTAAGGAAGAGCGCACCCATTAATAGCTGTGCAACTCCAGTCAAGTGTAAAGAAAAGGGATAAGTCGTTACCTTTAAACTTCACTGATCCCACTGCTTTACTTACTATTTCCGGAGTGACCACTATAAATATCTGTGTTTCTAGTATCCTTTTAAATTTTCTTCAACTTTTTATCAATGCAATTATTCTCAATATGGTTTTCATGAACTTTTTTGGGATAGTATTGTATTTCTAAAACTTAACTACACCGGTGTTCTTTTACCACAGTGTAGTATTCCCTTGTATATATCTATTCAATTCTTGATGGATATGATAGGTGTTTCCTGTCTCTTGCCACTATTCACTGTTATGAACAGTGTGAACATGTCTGCTATTGCCAGTGCACCGGGGATTTCTCTACAGTATATGCTTAGGAATAATTGTGTCTGCAACTTCACTAAGGTACTTCCAGGCTATTTCTGAAAATTGTTGGAATAGTTTTTGGAAATGGTTGCAATAGTACTCCCACCAGAAGCTTGTAGGCCTTCCACTTGTACAGGCAGTAACACTTGGTTTCATCAAGTATCTTAATCTTTGCCAAATACTGTCAGTGTGTAATGATATCTAATTATGATTTTAATTTGCACTTCTCTAATTAGTGATGAAGATGTCATAAAATTGTATTGGGGTAGGTGTTTGGCATAGCAGTTAAAACACCTGCACCCCACTTTAGAGTGCCCTTTGGGTCCCACCTCTACTCTTGGTCCTGGCTTCCTGCTAATATACGCTCTGGGAGGCAGCACTTGATGGCTCAAGTCCCTGCATCCCTACTAGCCATTGGGAGAGTTGGATTGAGTTTTCAGCTCTGAATTTCAGTATGGCCTAGCCCTGACCATTACAGGCAGTTGGTGGGGGTAAACCAGTATATTAACAGGAAATTCAAGGTATATACTATGACCAGTTATCTAGAAACAACTGCCATTGAAAAATACTTTGTACTCAGTCCCCACACCTTCCTGGGAGACAGGAATCCATTACTTGAACCATCACCATTGCTTTCCAGGGTCTACATTAGCAAGCAGCCGCATACATATGAGACAAAGCTCGAGTCAAACCAGGGACACTGATATGGGACACAAAGTCCTTCACCAGCATCGTAATCATTTAGGATTCAAGGTGTGCTCCTGTTTGATATAAATATACAAAGCTACCAGCTTTTTCTTTTTACCTTTTTAGCAACATGAAAACTCTTTCCTTCTTTAACTGTATCAGATCTGCTTTGAATCGTCCGTTGAAGTTTTCTTTTTTATTTCTAGATACTCTGGTATACTTTTGCATCTACTGCTTGGCATTTTGTCGTAGTCATTTTCTCTTTACTCCTTTTAGCAATCCTTTTTGCTATTTCACATTAGCTACTAATTCTAGGCTGTCATCCCAGATCTGGTTTTGATGCTTTTCTTGAGCCAAATTACTGCAGCAGGTTTGCAAAGATTTTCACAGAATTTTACAAATCTGTTAGAACTTCAGGTTTACCTGGTGGTAGGTTCTGCCATGGAGAACTTCCAGGTACCCCTGCCCAAGACACAACTTGCGGGGAGGACACTGACTTTTTAGTTTGAGCTTTCCCAGACTGCCCAGGTCCTAGAAAATTAAAACTGTAAACCTGTCGGAAGACTGGAATGTGGTTGGGATCCTCAAGGAATGGTGGCTCCCGAGAATGGTAGTTAGGGGAGATGTTGAAATCTATGGAGAGATTTCCAAATCATTCTGGAACCCTGACGTAAAGTTTTTTGTTTGTTTGTTTGTTTGTTTGTTTTAACACTGAGAGAATAGTTCTCCCACAAATGGGCTGTGAAACTTAAGATTCCTCTCATTGAAACTTTCAATGAAAGCTTAAATGAACCCTGCTGGGGAAATGGCCTCAAGGATGAATCTGATCCATGTTTCTTACTGTTCTGTTTCTCTCTGTGGGTTTCCACTTTCCCTGAGATTTTAGTCTTTAGTATTACTGTCCTGATAGCTTACCAATGCAAAGGTTTTATTTTGTTTTGTTTTAAGTTTCCTTGTATCTTTAAAAGAAAGATGAACTGGGCCCCGCTTTCGGCTGCTTAAACTGTTAAATTACTGCTTGGCATGTCAACATTCCATATCAGAGTTCCTAGATTCAAGTCTGTTTCTGCTTTTAAAATAAAAATGAATAATTTTACAAATATTAAGATGCAATGACATTTTCCAAACTTTAAAGACTTGTTAAAAATAATTTATTGGAAAGGCAGAGTTTTGGACAGTAAGAGTAAAGATCTTCCAGCCACTGGTTTACTCCCTAAATGGCCATGACACCTGGAGCTGGGTCAGGCCAAAGGCAGGAGCCTCTCCTGGGTCTTCCCCATGGGTGCCAGGGCCCAGGGACTCGGGCCATTTTACACTTCATCCCCAGGTTCATTAGCAGGGAGCTGGATCAGAAATGGTGCACCGAGAACTTGAACCAGCACCCAAAATGGAGTGTTGACACTGCAGGCCATGACTTAACATGCTGCAGCACAGCACCAGCTCCTAGAAGGCATTTTTTACCATGAGGACTTATATATTTGTGACATGAGGGTTCACAGCCCATCTTTAAAATCCCATAACTAAATTCACTAGAATACTGATTTTCTTTCGGGGAGTTCAGGTATTATGTTTTCTTTGTCATAGTGCCACCAGAAAGGCAACTATTGCTCTAAAAGTGAGGCAGTCACAGGATAAAACTTCTGTCTTCTGCAGAGGCTGTGGGAAACAGAGCTAGCAGAAGGGTCATGGACAGCAAGGTCCCAAACAAAAAGTGTAATGGGGGCTGGTGTTTCATATAAAACCACAAAAAGTACAAATGTAAGATTTTACAAGAGCAGGCAGCCAGAAACTCAGCTCCGCAGAATTGTCTTTGCCCTTGGCACAACATTCCATGCAAGAAAACGGATCGCGCTCTGCTGTGTCACTGTGATGATGGGGGCATTGGCAGCTTTCTGCAAGGTCTCCACTGCACCCAAGGGGCTCGGAGGCACTCCAGACATGCTACAGACTGATTCGCTATGCAGTGGCTAGCCTAAGATGTGAGTAAATGGCTATTGATTGACACTTCACTCTGAAATGGCTCTCAAAAGAGTACAAGGAGTGAAAATAATGAAACTGCTGAAAATTACTAGTTGATTGGCTGGGATTACCAATAGAATGTTCTTGTAATTTGGTCATTCTGTTATGACCTGTCCATGTCTGAATGAAACAGAGTCTATGAATCATGTTTCTAGTTATTTTCAGGTGATTATCGCAGAGATCACATGAGGAAATGCTGATAAAACATGAATACAGCTGTAGTCTCAAGGAAAACCCTGGGCCACTGCTGACTGTACGAGACTGAATGACATTAATTTTCATTTCTGTTTGACAAACTATACAAAGGTTGTATATTACGCCATGGGCTGGTATCTTTTTTTTTTTTAAATAAGACCAATTATATGTGCATGCATTCACACAGGAGTTTGCAAATTGTGTCAGTCATTTTTAGTAAATTACCATGTCTTCATTCCTTCATGGACATGTGTATTTCTGTCACTCAGAACGGGACTACCAATTTTGATATCTGTCTTCTCATATCAACATAACTTACTCTCTTTATTTGCCAAGTGTAAAACAAACTATCAATCATTATAATTAAATGTAAAGTCCTCCATTATGAAAGTTAGATAATGATTGAAGCTATTTATATTGTTTGAAATAATTTTAGGGAGAAATGTAGGGTGTCAACAGAACCTAGAAATTAGGATTGATTCATAAAGGACTTAAGCTCTCATTTTGCAAATTGTTCTTATGCCTGGATACTTTGCAAAGCAACTCACTGCATTCAAACGCTAGTGTTGTGGGCCATTATATATGAAATATCCACCTCTAACATTCGCTAGTGAAAACAATGGGGCATTGTTCCTTGTCTTTTGTTAAAATTTATCTAGGCCCTTTATATAAGGTAAAGCCCAGGCTTTTCCAACATGTTTGCTTGGATCTTATGCCTTTGACTTTGTCCTGCTGAATTTTGAATGTATTAAGCTCCACTGTCCAGCCAAGAATTCCTCAAGCAGTTATTAGATACAGTCATAATAGATGTTGATGATGTTGCAGGGAACTTTGGCATGAGTGAACTTTTAAACAGGATAGCTTGTTACCAGAGGAAAGAGAAGGAAGTTTGCTGAGGAATTTGACAGCTAAGCAGCTTTTTATCTGTGTGTGCCCATAGTGTAACTTGTTTGGAAACCATGCTCAGTTTCTCGGCACTGAGGCATCGCTCAGTGCACAGGTGTGTGTGTGCCTGAACCTCTGGCCTCAAGCCTTGTTGGTTTATTATTGATTAGATGCTTACTCATCTTTGTTGGCAAAGGTGAGGAAGCAGTTGTGATGGGAGAGGGGCAAAAAAGATTTTAATACCTCAAATTGAACGTTTTTGCAATCAGCTAGATCATAAAATACATTTTTTTAAAGATTTATTTTTATTGGAAAGTCAGATATACAGAGAGGAGGAGAGACAGAGAGGAAGATCTTCCGTCCATTGATTCACTCCCCAAGCGGCCACAATGGCTGGAGCTGAGCCAATCCAAAGCCAGGAGACTCTTCCAGGTCTCCCACACAGGTGCAGGGTCCCAAAGCCTTGGATCGTCCTCGACTGCTTTCCCAGGCCACAAGCAGGGAGCTGGATGGAAAGTGGGGCTGCCAGGATTAGAACTGGCACCCATATGGGATCCCAGGCGTGCAAGGTGAGGACTTTAATTACTATGCTATCGCGCCAGGCCCATAAAATTTCTTGAAATCATCTTGCTGTCTCGTTTGTATACAATATTTGTGATCAGAATTAGATCAAGTTTGACTTCCAGTGCTTTAGTGTTTAAAAAAAAATTTTTTTTAACATCACTGTAGACTTACAGTCCTAAGAACAAATAAAGTGATTGCATGCACCTTTCTCCCCAGTTCCCTCTGTAGCATTGGCAGCTGTAGTGTAATATCACAATTAGGAAGTTTGCCCTGACATGGTCCATCTTATTTACACTTCGCCAGCTTTCTATGGGCTCCTTTGAAGGTTTACTTAGTTGTGTCACATGTACAGACTCAACCACAGTCAAGACAAAGAAGAGTTCTACTGTAAGGAACCTTCTTCGTGTCCTTTGAAGCCACAGCTTCTTCCTTTGTGTCCCCACCCCCCACTCTGTGGCATCCACTCTTTTCCATCTCTATAATTATATCATCTGAAGCATATTATATAAGGGAAATTATACAGTATGCGACCTTTTGAAGCTTGGCCTTTTTTTCCCCTCTCCTACTCACAATATAACCTTGAATATCTTTTGATCTCCAGCAAGTATAATTTTCGAATTTAGTCTTTTAATTTGGCAGGGGGCAGTCTAATTTTGTTGCTGATAATAGAGGAAAAACATTGTCACTAATGTTTATGGTAGTTTGAAGATTTAAAACTACCCAAATCACTAGGAGAAAATGAAATACATTCAAATGGTATGGTGATTTTACTTGGATTTTAGAAAGTTAATAAAACATAAGCATCCTAGTTTTCTGGAATGATTTTTCCATGTTAAAAATGGTAAGAGCATGTTGCAAGGGAATTCCATCAATGTCAAAAGAATATTGGCGCAGCTGTGGGGGATATTGCAACCCAAGGAGAGAATTACATTGCAGTTTTGAAATATTTTTCATTACACTGTCATTTCTCTCTCTAGTGAGACCGTGGAGATTAAGATCTAATGTTTTTGTTGTTGGCCTAAGAAGCTGATGGCCAGAGAGTGTTTTCCTGGATCTCTCGAGCCGTCTTCCTTTTCTCCTCCCTTGAGGAGTTGCTTCTGCCCTGTTGGGTTGGCCTCGTTGCCTCTCCAGCCTCATGTAGACCCTTCTGTGCGTCCTGCCTTCCTCACTGCCCTGTGCCTCCCTCTGGTGTTCTTTACAGAATGTGAGCCGATAGAGGCGATAGCCAAGTTTGACTACGTTGGACGATCTGCCAGGGAACTCTCCTTCAAGAAGGGCGCCTCCCTGCTGCTGTATCACCGCGCCTCTGAGGACTGGTGGGAAGGCAGACACAACGGGATCGACGGGCTTGTGCCGCACCAGTATATAGTGGTGCAGGATATGTGAGTCATCCCAGATCCACCTGCCCAAGTGCTCACAACAGGGGACACCCACCGTTCTCCTTAAAATGCCTTTAGTCTTGTGAGAAAAGATCACACGAGGTTACCGAGGCACAACTTCCCAACTCACATTTTTTCTCCTTGCTCATAGTGACTTTGCTTATAATACTTCAATTTCCTGGACTCTAACACAAAGTGTGCAGCACCTTTAACAGCCAAGAAGCATTACTAATTCCAGATCACTGGTGCTCTTCATGTTTCAAAATTCTCAAAGGGGAATCCTCTCTAGGGATCCTCTCATGTGTTTAATCTTTGCTGATGAGAAAATTATAATTTCAAAAATATTTAAAGATACTAAAGTCCCAGGTTACAAAAAAAAAATTATGCTATACGTGAGAATACTATAATCTCTACTTTTTGTCCTTTTAATTTCTTTGAAAGGGAAAAATCTTTCTCCTGCTGGTTCACTCCCCAGTGGCCACAATACCAGGTCTAGGCCAAACAAAAATCAGAGTCTGAGGATTCCATTGTGGTCTCCCTTGGGAACAGCAGTGGCCATCATGCGCCGCTCTCCCAGGTACATGAACAGGAAGCAGGACTCCAGTATGGGATGTTGACAGTCACAGATCACAGCCCGCTGTAAAGCAATACTTTTTTGGCCTCCGTGTCTTCTGAGTACGGTTTTTCACAGTGCTCCATCAATGGAAGAAAAAAAATATTTAAGGGCAAAGAAAACTTCCACACAAGACATAAACAGTGTCGGATGCAACCTAATTTTAAAATGTGTTAAAGTTTCTGTCTCAGCATCTGTGAAGTATCACATTTTTGTACATAAACAGGCAGCTACCAATTAGTCAGGGTGGGTGTGTGGCACAGTGGTTCAGCAGCGCTTGAGTCACCCACATCTCTTAGAGGAGTGCCTTGCCCAAATCCTGGCTATTCCACATCCCATCCAGCTTCCTGCTACTTCATCTGGGAGGCCGCACCTGAGGACTCAGATGCTTGGGTCCTCGTCACCCATGTTGGAGACCCAGGTACGGTTCTAGACTCCTCACTTTAGCCTGGCCCAAACCCAGCCATTGTGGCCTTAGAGTGAACCAGCTGATGGAAGATCTCTCTTCAGTGGTTTTTTTTCTCTCCCTGAAATAAAAGGAAACTTTTGTGAAGTACTGAATCATAATATTATGCACACTGGATACATATATGTATAAGACCTCCCAGGCATAGAGGGGGAAAGTGTGGATAATTGTTTCTAGATATTGTTATAACACATATGCTATATTATAGGTGATTGCTATTTCATGCTTTGCATATCTACCATTTTTAATGTGCCTACAGTAGAATTGCACTGTTAGAATGAAAAGGGAAAGCTGTGTTACCTCCACAAATGCCATCACTTTCATCCCACTTGTCAAGCACCAGACCCTCATTCTGGACTCTGTTTCAGGGATGATGCATTTTCAGACACCCTGAGCCAAAAAGCTGACAGTGAAGCCAGCAGTGGGCCAGTCACTGAGGACAAGTCTTCATCCAAGGATATGAGCTCCCCGACAGATCGCCACTCAGATAGCTACTTAGCCAGGTAGGCGGCATCTGGGCCCTGGGCTCCCAAGCATCCAGCCCCATCCACCCAGCCCTGCAGCATTACCCGATGTAATGAACTTCTCTGTGTTCTCTTTCTGTGGCTGTCTAGACAAAGAAAGAGAGGAGAGCCACCCCCTCCGGGTAGGCGTCCTGGCAGGACCAGTGATGGCCATTGCCCGCTCCACCCACCACATGCTCTCTCCAACTCTTCTGTGGATCTGGGGTCCCCAAACCTGGGCAGTCACCCCCGGGGCGTCCTGCAGAACCGTGGCCTCAACAGTGACAGTCCTGAGAGGCGGCGCCGCCCTGGCCACGGCAGCCTGACCAACATCAGCCGGCATGACTCCCTCAAGAAAATTGACAGCCCTCCTATCAGGAGGTCTACATCATCAGGGCAGTACACGAGCTTTAACGACCACAAGCCACTGGACCCAGAGACAATTGCCCAGGTACCGTGCTTTTAATGCAGGATTGCACTGTAGATCCAGGCCCTGGCAAAGGTGTTAAGGATTTACCTTCTATGGCTCTGGGTCGGTCTAGAGACAGCAAGACAAGTGACAGACAGATGTCCCTCCCTCCTGTTAAAGCCTTTTGCAGTGTCTTTTGAAGATCCATTTGTTCCTCAAAGGGCCCATGGGTCTAGGGATCATCTTGATTTAAAGAGACACTTGTTAGAAATAAAGGTAAGACCTAAGACATTGAAAGGCAGGAAATTGTTCAAAAAGAATAAGGGAACGAATGGTCCTGTCAGATCTCAGATGCGTCTGCAGTTAGTGACAGACAAGCTGGCAGAACAGGAGTGAGGCCCCAGGAACAGAAAGGTTTGTGTACACGGTACAGAGGATAGATACCTTCTGTTTAGGAAGTCACAAGTAAGTTAATAAAACCTCGGTCAGGAACCCAGAGCTGTTTGAAGAACTGTGCATCTGGCTTCTGTGTGCAGTTGACACAGTGTGTGTCCCCAGCCAGCCTGCACAGAGGGTTCTCTAGCACTGTCTAATTTGAATCAACAAAGTAGAAAGAGTAACAAGCCAGTTTGTTAACTGGGCTATGTGTCAGCACTCTGGTTCCCTTTGTGGCCTGACAGAGGAGGCAGACAAACTCAGGTTCACCGCTGGGTTCTCTCCAACCAGGTAGATGGGAAAACAACAAAAAAATGGAACGAATATTGGAAAGTATGAAAGGTGGATTATTTTTTTACTAAGAAGCACACAAGAAAACCCACCCCGATAGGAAGGACTTCCAAACCCTTCAGAGTGGCCCTTGTAGAGAATAATTTTGGCTAGCAAATTAGATTTTGTGGGGAGTTTCATGTGATTTTTAAACATTAAGTTGTAAACATACAACAGCTTCTCACAAAAATCTAAAGAGCCTTTTGACCGTCTGGGTTTGTTTTCTATTTAAAGTGCTACATAAGGGCCTTGGAGGCTTATTTGAAACAAGTGGGATTTGAGGATAGCTGAAGTTGATGGTTCAAGCAACGCACAGCACTGCTAAGTAGATGAGACATGAATTAGTGAGGCACTGCGTGAGAGGGGAAGGTCTGTTTAACCCCCTTGCTTTCAGAACAAGGGACTCCTTGCCTTTTACAGCATTAAAACAAGAATTCAGATAGAGGAGGCCTTCACATTCTCTCCAGGGCAAATATTTATTTAAAAAATAAAATAAAAAGAAACCCAGATCCATATGTTTAGCAGCAAATGGAAATCACATATGAAAGTAATCACTTGAAAAGTGATGTCACCCTCAAAGTGGCTGCCAGCTTTGTCCTTTGTTTATCTTTGTATCTCCCATGAGGACAAGTAAGCTTGCCATGGCAGTGTTCATACACTGAACATCCAAGAGTTTTCATTAAACAAATCAGCGGAATCCCTGATGTGGAGTTTTAAAGGATAACATATCCATGTGTGATTGGGTCTTGGTTCACTTATTATTGAAGATTACCATTTGCTGCTAAATCACGTTAGCAAATTTTGAAGCACTTACTATATGCCAGATCCCCCGATAGCAACAACAGCTGTCTACAGGTGCTTGTTCAATCGACAGTGGAGAAAAAGATGCAGATATCTTGACTTTTTTGGGCAGTGCCAGGGCGGTCATCTTCCAGGTGGGTGGAGAACCTCATAAGAATGGAAGGTAGCGACCTGCACAGTGGAGCAGAGGCAAGTCTTTAGAAGAGCTGTCTCAGCAGTCTGCACTTCTTTTTCACTTGTACTAAAAGCATGTAACACATATCATCTTAACTGTTTGAAGTGTATCCATGGTGTTTGGAAATAGCTCTCCAGACCTTTTCCATCTTACAAACCGAAACTCTTCTCCATCAGAAAACAAATCCCCATCTCCCTCTCCCAACCGTCACCAACCATCCTCCATCTTCCTGCGTGAGTCGGAATACTTTAGACAGCACATGGGGGTGGAATCTTACAGTGTTGGTCCTTTTGTGATGACTATTTCATTGAGTATAATGTCCTCAAAGTTCAAACAGGTTGGAATGTATGACAAAACTGCCCTCCTTTCTAAGGCTGAGAATTTCATTATGGGCACATTTAGCACATTTGGTAGCCATTCATCTGTCCATGGAAGATACTCTACTTTTGTAAGGTAATATTTTATAATTACTCCTTTAGTTTCTAAAGTAAATCAGTTGATATGCCTAATTTAAGGAGTATCAAGCTGTAAATGTCACGTAAAGGGAAGGCTAAAGGAAAAAGATTGTTTCAATTAATTATTGACTACACTGAAAGACAAACATACTGTTGTCTACCTGTAGAATTTCCATAAATGCAATAGAAATTTGGGACTATTATACTCAGTAAAATAAGCCAATCCCACAAGGACAAACATCATGTTCTCTGACAAAGAGCAGTGTGTATACAAAACACAACAGATACATAGGTAAGCATGTACATATATATTACATAGAGGAACAGTATAATGAAGACTAGCATACCAGGAAGTGAAGATACATTGCAACATGCATCTCTAGTCCTGAATAAAAGGAGGACTCCTAATGACACTGTAAAATATGATATAGTTTGGAACAGTAAAGTTGCAGATAAACATACAAAGGTATCAAATCTATACACCAAAAATGAACTAGCCAAAAGATACCAAGATAATATTTTGTTTATATTAGCTATTTAAAAAATACCTAGAAATAATTTAAGGAGGTGATAAAAATTCTATAATGATGACTGTAAAACACTCCCATCAGGGTAGTAGGAACCAAATATTTGAAAATACACACAAAGCCAGAAATGACATGTAAGGAGCAGTATCCACAGGGATCCACTGCATGGTGAGCTCACTCCATTTTCAAGAATGCTTAGGAGTTAACCAAGTGTCTAGTAAATGCTCAAAAATCGGAAGGAATAAATGAAGCCAGATTCTTCATTACTATTCATATTTATTCCTTGAGAGGTTATTGAAGCATGTAAATTTAATGTATTACCATAAATTGAAATCAAATTCTAAATCAATAACTCAATGCCAATAGGAAAGGAGAGACCATCGTAAGACTGCCTGAAGCCTTGGATGTGGTGTATGTTGATATTTGACTTCATAAACCACCGCAACAGGATCTGTTGAAAATTTAGATTCAAAATAACTGTATGATGAACTTATAATTTCTAGGAACTAGGACTTGAAGATACTCATATTCCTTGTTGGTCTGTTTGCTTTGAAATATTTGGGTAGCATTCAGTATGTTAGTGTGCATGCTCAGCATGTCACTTCTGTCTTGTTAATTCTGTTTTGACAGGACATTGAAGAGACAATGAATACTGCTTTGAACGAACTCCGAGAACTGGAGAGACAGAGTACGGCGAAGCATGCCCCAGATGTGGTGCTGGATACCTTAGAACAAGTGAAAAATTCTCCCACCCCAGCCACCTCCACCGAATCTCTCAGCCCCTTGCACAGTGTGGCCCTCAGGAGCACGGAGCCCCAGATCCGCCGCAGCACCAGCTCCTCCAGTGACACGATGAGTACTTTCAAGCCGATGGTGGCACCCAGGATGGGTGTGCAGCTGAAGCCCCCAGCTCTTAGGCCAAAACCTGCTGTTCTTCCAAAAACAAATCCTACCATGGGACCTGCTCCGCCTGCCCCGGGTCCGACAGACAAGTCTTGCACGATGTAAAAAATGAGCTGAGCAAGGTTTTATGGGGAGGCGATTTTAAAAGGCAAATGGATTAAGGACAAAAGTCCACAATCCATAACGTCCCTTAGTTTCGTACTTATGACTGGAGATGGTTTGGCTTTTTTTTCTGTGTTGTCAAATGTCATGTCTGAGACTAGCTAAATTAACACGGGCATTTGTATTTTCTAAGTTTTTTTTTTTTTTAAATAACTGGACGAATCCTCTGTCATTTTAAAGACGATAGAAACACTTAGACTTACTTGAAAATCCAATGCTGCACCACTTGCAATGAAGGCAACACTGTTCTCTGCATCGTACAGCGCTTCACACTCAGTGTAGTCAGAGATGTCTTGATCTGAAGGCAGGAGAATCCGAGCTCCAGGAGTATGAGCCATTTAGGACTGTAGCACTTGCGGAAATGGCTGAAAAGTGAAAAAAAAAAAAAAAAAAAGCTCTCATTGTCTGCTAGCGGACAGCAAGCACCTCTGCTTCCACGCAGTCCAGCTCATACTAAAAGCATGCACGTGCCCAGAGGGGCCTTAAGCCCACAGTGTGAATGTGTTGGTTGATTGTCTTTCATAGCAGTTGTTGTCCAGGTCTAGGTAACGACTCCAGGGAAGGGGGTGGAAATCTTTGCAGTGCTTGCTTGAACCCAGTCTGGAAAAGGAAAGGGAGATAGTGGCCTCAGATAGAGCCACTGAGGTTGCTCCATCCATGACTGGGGTCCAGCCCCTGCTCTTACAAAGGACTGGAACAGTTTAACCTAGGGATTTTTCTGGTTACTCAACTCCAAAACCTCCTTCAAAGATCTTTTGCGCAATAACTTTCCTAGCACAGATTTCTGTCTCCCCTAAATCCCCATGTTATCCTCCGTGGAAATGGGGAAGGAAGTTGCCCCCGAGCCCTGGGGTCACTCAGTGCTCTTGAGTTTCCTTGGTTCCTCCAGACAGGCCACAAGAGCCTGATGCTGCCAAGTTTGAAGTCCCAGCTGTCCTTACCCTGTGTCTCTCTGAGCCAATTATGGTACTTGAGTAAGGGCCATCCAGGGCCAGCGTGGGAAGATTACCTCGTGGTCCCAGGAGGATTTTTCTTCCAGGTTTGCATCTTGGAACCACAAGTTTTTTTACTTTTTTTCTTTTTGCACACGGTCTCCACATAACTCACACAGTCAGCTGAATTCAATTAGGGACCATTATTCTCTGGCATGGTAGTAATAGTCTTTTGTTAGCCCACACTGACACTATATTTTCCCTCTTTGTTACAACATTTGCTTTGTATTTACTTTTTACTAAGGTCCAAACCAGCGTTATCTTTCCAGCAGCTGCTGGGATCATCTCTAGACCTTGGGAGCAGTTGATCTGTCCTATGGTTGAACTTACCGGATGAAGAAACTTTGTCTTTCCAAATTCAATTGAACGTCTCAGAACAAAACCCTGTGGACCACCATTGGTTTCTTTCTCGTTTGGTTTCAAACTGGAAGTCACTTGCATTAACAGTGTGCAGAAAGGGATTAGGCTGTGTGCTATAATCAAGCCATGACTTTGATCACTGCCCATCTGGTCGTTCTCCTGCAGGCAGGGATAGGTGAGACCTTGTTACCTTTCAAACCTCAAATGCTCAAAATCATCCTTTCTTACCCACTTGAAGTGGAGCGGTCCAGTCGCATCCTTTCCAACCGCTGCACCCTCCGACACCACAGAGTCCCAGCCCAAAGTGAGCTGTGAAGAATCCTCACAAACATTTGTTAGTAATTCCCTGGTTCTCCAAAAGGATAAAGATTCTCAAGAACCATTTCCTCCTTTGAAAAGTAAGATGTTAACAGGAAGGTATCCAAAGAGTAGAAATACCTTGAACTTACTACATGCCTTTCTAAAGCTTGAACGTCACCTTTTAGATCTAGCAAGCTCCGTTCTTTAGGACTTCCTCCCGCTAGTCCTCTTCAGTGTCTCCCTTCAGTCTGTCTACTTACACAGGAACAAAGACTGCCTTGCCGCCTCCTCTGCCACCTGCGTAGCAGGGCGGGGGCATGCTGCTGTAGCCCTCAAGAGCCTCAGAGGCTGTGCCTTTTTCACTCCCCAGCACCCCTTCCTGCCCTTGTCCCTATCTTCTCTCCCTGCACTTCTGTGGTCATCTAGACACTATTCCGATAGCAAACCAAGAGTGTGACCGCAGAATGAGTAAGGACTTACCATTCTTCCTTTGTTCAGTGTCTTCAGATTTCAAGGTGGCTACCATTCAAAAAAAGACCCAAAATAACACCCTGCACAGCTCATTAAAAGCTGCAGCAGCTTAGAAAGTTCTCCTAGTTAACAGCCTTCTTGACAGTGGCGATTGCAGCGCACACAGGGGAGGTACGTGAACGCAGGAAGCAAAAAAGAAAATGGGTCCTGAAGACGTTATGCCCCCCAGTTTCTAGGGTCTTATTAGTCTTCACATAGGATTTTGGAAGAGGTCATTTTTGATGATGGGTCCATTTACAGTTCTGCAAACATTTTCCGACTGCACTTGGAATATGTAGTCACAACTGATACAGCTTGCATATGTTCACGTCCTATCTATAGAATTCACCAAAGTAGATTGACCAAGCTGGCCTCTTGATTTGGGTCAGGGTTTTGGGGAGTGGGTTGTAAGGACGGAGGAAGATACTCAGTACACATTTTCTGATGTGTTATGTAAACTGTTTCAACCTACTGAGGGGTGCTTTCTAGAGCTCCGTGTTCACGTTCAATGTCAGCATCATAGTTCAGCAGGTTTACGTGTCTTCACACTGTGTAATCTGACTTTAGTGCCCTTGAGCCATCTATAGGATAGAGTTACCACAATGGCCATGCACAGGTCTCAGTGGATAGAGAGGGCCAGGGATCAGGTTGGATCAGTTCAGAGTTTTTCATCATTGTATATCTGGTCTTCCCAAAATGGGGTTATAATTTTCATTGAAGAAAAAAAGGGAGTAGGTAGATAGTAGTTGTCCTGCATGTTTAGGAATGACATGAGCTGTGGAGTCTGAGGAAACTTAAATCTGATCATCACAGCCTCTGGAATCCAAAGCTAAAAGAGCCTGTGGATCTCTCAAGGGATGCGGAAGACGACAGACTTGGGATGATGCTTGCCGATTCCTGATCACAGCGTTGAGAGGCTATGGATGCAGGAAATATGCTCGGGACTCAGTCTCACTTTCAGTTTTTCACCACAAAGGACCCACCATCCAGATCAGCTTAGAACCGAAGGCTCCACTGGGTGTAGCTATGACCCCACAACTCTAGGTCACCCCGAGCTGAGCCAACCTCCAGCTGGGCTAGAGTACTGAGCTCAGTGCAGGGTGATGGGCAAAACCTCATCAGATCAAGAAAACAAGCTGGATTGGGAGCTTTCACTTAACCCTAGTATACTTTATTTAAATTTCTGAAAATTACTGTATGTGGTATAATCAAGATGGGTACCTGTATCTTTCAATTATGTAGGGGATTTTGTATGTTTAAATAATTGTACTGGGTTCCATAATGCTTATCTTAGAAACTGTTTAGTAAAAGAAAATATGTAAACCGTGCATTTGTGAATGCCCCCCTTAGAGCATTCATCCACGTTCAGTGTGTAGTGCGATGGTTATTATAGTTATTTAAGTATAGTAAGTGGCTGTGTAACAGGAGCGACTGCTATTTACCTACGTACCCAAGGGTAACTCCTACCCACATAATTAAATCAGTATTGTCCTTTCCTGTTGGTTTGATCAGTTGCAGTACTGGTAGCTTCCTGCTTGTGACTGTTACCTAATTGTGTCAATGTACATCTGTAGTATGTACATGTGAAAGTGCCTTTCTATTTTAGAGGAGTTTTAGCCTTGCTCTTGTATTGTCTCCTTTGCCCCATGCCCAGCCTGCCTCTGCCTCTTAATTCTCGCTGCCCAGTTGAGTGTTCTGAAACTTGCCCCACATTCTCCCTGCTTCTTCACCCCCCTTCCTGTGTCTCAGCGCCCAGTGGGGTCCTGTCCCACATCCGACTTTCTTGTTTGTAGATGTGACCGTGCCTTTCTCCCCCTTGCAGTGACTACCCCCCAACCCATGTCCTCCCTTCCACACCCCACTCACATGCTGCCGACTGCCATCATTGTCACCCATGCTCTGTACTGCCTCTAGGACAGTCTCTCCTCTCGGAGGCAGAATTAAAGGGGAATACTTTTACAGTTCTGGAAGAAAAAAAAAAACGATGTTTTGTTATTCTGTTGTGACAATGCACTTTTCTGTATAGTACTGTACATTTTGGGCATGTACCATTTCAGGCTTCAGTATACGGTCAGGTTTGTTCTTCACGGTGTATCTTTATAATAAATAAGATAGTTCTGGCTGCCTTTTGTCTGATTCCAATTTGATTCTCCATGGTATCCTAAATTGGGTTGTAATTGAAAGCTGTTTGGTGCTTTTAAAAGGGCGGCAGCAAGCCTAAGGCTGTGTCCCTGTAACGATGGTTTTCAGAATTGTGGTTTTGCAGATTTGTGTGTAGTAAGACACTGGGAAAGCCTTCACCAAGAGGAGAATCCTAAAGACGCACCACATGGGAATCTCCGCTTTAGGAAGGACTCTGGAATGATGAACCTGGTCAAATGAATGAATCCTTAGCTGTTAACTGTTCATAGAAGAAAATATCAAACTCTAAAGCTAATTCTTAGGGTCAAGCAATATATAATAGTTCTGTGAGACAATATCAGCTAGATTGAGTATTCAAGAACAACAAAAATCAAGGCTTTTTATATGTACTACACATCAAGTATACAGATCACCGGAATCATCATTTTCACAGTTCGACAGTTGCACATCTACCACAAGATCAAGAAACAGCACATCTGGGCGACACTTGCAGGTGAAACTGCTGCCCAGTGCCAGCATCCTGTGTGGGTGCATATGCCCATCCCAGCTGCTCTACTGCCTGTCTAGTTTTCTGATAATGCACCTGAGAAAGCAGCAGCATTAGATGGTCCAAGTGTGTGGCCTCCTGCAGCCACATGGGAGACCTGGATAAAGATCCTGGCTT